GAAGTGTTTTTTCTTCAAAAGATCTTACAGCCAGCTGCCTTTCCGTAGGGATGTCTCAAATAATTCTTTCTTGGCTAATAAAGGAAATACCTTTTTAGGTAAAAGGGGATGTTGACTGAAGAGTCAAGAGCAATCATGTTTTTTTTCTATTGTGATTGATGTCTGTGATTACTGGTCAAAGGTAATGGATCTAAAAGCTGGTTATTGCTTTTACAGCAGACATTAAATTTCTGACTGGTGCAGTTTTTAAACCTTTGATTCAATTGATCAGCATTTATATTGGGTAGCTTTAATGCCAGCTTTTAGTGATCCTGGTTATGGCAGGATATAGTGTGGAATTGTCTCTAAATTCAGGAGTTGGGGAAATAGCGAGCAACATGCAGCTGGGGAAGTACAACCAACCTGCATAGAGATTTGGAGTTTCTTCAGTCTGAAATTGGAGAGTTCATAGCTGAAATGTGAGAAACTTGCTGGATGTCAGTGTAGTAAGTTTTTTGCTCCTGTGTGCAGGTGGCCTTTTGTATTTCTGTGCTTACAGATACATTTGGTTACGTAAGTGAGTTGTGTGCAGTGTCCCTAGCCCTAGTTTCCAAAAGACAGTTTATGACTCCAAATACTAGCTTTCTGGTTCCCTGAATCATGACTAGTGTTCCCTCATGACTTGTAACTTGGCATGGAAACTATTAAAAACAGTTAGATGGCTACCTCTGAGTCCCTCAAATGTCTGGGCATCCTTTGGCCACCAGTAGATAACTTCTGATTGCCTCACATCCTACCCTTTCATGCTGTTCTTGGTCTTGTGCCTTTGGTCTCAGCTACAGAAACCTGCAGAGCTGCCTTTGTGAGCAGGTATTTTTGTGTTTTTTTAAGACAGAACTGAGTGTGCTGGGATTGCTAAAGTAGTTGCCTTAAGCAAGTAGGCCTCTGTCTTGGAATTAACAATCAGTGTTTGACTGTCCCAAAACATTGCTTGTCCTGTCTAAACCCACAGCTAAAATTCTCAGTCCAGGTGCTCTGAATTCCTGGCATCAGTTACAGAAGCAGCCTCACTTGTGGCTTTGATAAATGCCTTGCATGGCTGTTTGAAACACCTGTTTTGCCTGTTACCTTAATTGCATTGCTCCTTTCCAGCCCACTGCTGACTCTCAGTCCTTGTCCGACCTGCTTTCCCACACTGTCAAAAACCTGTGAATGTGCCACTGCCCTAGCTGTGATCTTTTGGAAATACAGTGAGGCTGACTCCTGGTTATTAAGCCCAAGACTGTGGTTTCTTTCTGCATCATGGTGACAGCCCTTAAAACTTCACCCAGGACTGTCTTATGCTTGTCAGGTTTTTCCTGGAAAGGCAAAATTGTTCTGCTGGCTTCTTTAGAACATCTCTCTTGCTATGATGCTATCAAGAAAACACAACCAATACTGCTGCTTACCATGCTGTCTTGTTTCTGGGAATATCCTGATCTCTCTAGTTCTCTGCTTTGGCATCACAAGCATCCCCAGCAAGCCTGCACACTGTGTTTCTGTTCTGATGTGTACGTCATCCAGGACGCTGCTATCTGGCTGTCTCCTGTATATACATTAATACAACTAGGAGGAGAAGGGAGGTGTGCTCCTTACAGCTTCTGCAGGAGTTCTCAGTGCTGCTCTTCATTTGACTAAGCATTTTTTGTTTTGTACCTCCTGTTATTTTATAGACCCATCTCAGAACAGTCTCTTTCCTCTTCAAGCTTTGAGCCCTTATGCATGCTGCTGCTGCTTCCCTGTATTGCCTGCCTTCCGTGCTGACCTTCTTCGTACTGCTCAGGCAGTTGGTGACAATCATGTTTTGCCAACTGGCCGTCTGGCCTAGAGGTGTTGGTAGATTCTTGAACCTACATTAAACATGTACCTGCTTTTTCTTAATTGTTTTCTACTGTTGTTTTTTTTTTCTATTTTTCTTTAAGTCATAATGAGTCTAAATCCTGTTTCCAGTTCCAAGCATTTTTTTTTAGTTGCTTAGGAAGCACTACATTTAATTTTCATACCAAGAAATGCAACAAGGTTGACCTCATAAGCTTAGCCAGTGAGTACAAGAAAATGTCTCCTCCTCATGAATTAGCTTATTAATCATGATTAAATAGCCATATGTTTCATCTCCCTTTCTGTCTTTTAGAGCTAGAGTTCTCTCCCTTAAGAATCCCTGTTCCCCTTTTGTTCCTTCCTTCTGTGTTTTCCTGCCTGTGTGACTCTTGTTTATATTGACAGCAATAGAGAGGACATGTAAAGAGCTTTTTTGCTTATAGAAAACAGTGTGACAAGAGTTACTAATTCTTTTGCACAATAGAGGCATGTCTGTATATTGTTTAACTGGTAGCAAAAGATATTAAGCTCACCTGATAGGAATAAAGGTCAAGAGCTGTTGTACTTCAGCTGTATGTTAAATAGTACATAGCAGTAGAGAGTTTTGAAATAAGATGAAAATTCCTGAATCATTGCTAGGTGTTGATATTCATATTGTCACTGCAGTGGAAGCAGAATGTAACAGTGATTAAGGAGGAGGCAGAAAAACTCATCGTAAGTGCTGAGTGACATTGCATAAGGGAAGCAAAGAGAGAAAGCTTTTAGGTTTTGTATTTTTGAGGCAGGCAAAGTTAGTAGTAGAGGCTGGGTAGGAAACCATGCCACTCTTCCTTTTAAGGCTTTAAAAAGTTCCTATCTATGGCTGCTGGGAAGGGATGGGACCCAAGTTTCACTTTTTGGTTTATCTCAATAAATTCCTAGTATTATGCCATTGCTTTTGGCAACTGGTGAAATGAGGGGAAGGGTCACATATTTCTGTGAGAGCAGAAAGCAAATTTAATTGCTAAAAGCCTGTTTTAAAAATATAGTACTTGGGAGACTATCCTGGCATCCTGGAAACGGAGTCTTCATTTTTACCCATGAAATAAGTATGTAGGGACAGAAGTTGTTTAAATGCCTCCATTCTGCCACTGCTGATGAACCTCTGCCCAGACTGGGAGGAATGGGATGGCCTTCAAATTTACTTACCACATCTGAATTTCTTCATTTGAATTTTGAAGAGGGTTTTGTGTTTCTGTTCTTGTAATACGAATCACTTGAGGGCAATGACTTTCAACCTCTTGATTTGTAACACCAGCTGTTTTCCAGTGGTTTTGCAGACCCTGTCAGAAATCTCATATATGCACATTGCTAAATAGCGTGTTTAAATTATTTTTGTTGATTTCATGAATGCCTATAAACTGGTCTGTGTTTCTTGGAGGAAGAGGAGGAGGAAAGAAAGGTGTGAACTGCAGTTTGAAAAGCTGTGCATTAGAAGGCTTGTTCTGGAAATGACAGTGTATTTCCAAACAACCTCAGGAAAAGCATTTGGATTATTTTATGTGTTGAGTGTTTGTGTTTGCTTGTTTTTTTGTGTTTGGGTAATTTTTGTGGTGTTTTGTTTTTTTTTAATTGATGAAACTAACCCTTTTTCTCATTCAAAAGCATCAGTTGCCCCCCCCCTAAAATTAGATAACTCAACTTGAATTTAAATAAAATTTTACATTTCTTTTTCTTATGATGCCAAATTTTAATAATTTTCCTCTGCAATCAAGAAGGCTGTAAAAATGATAGAGTGGAGTCACATAATGACTTGATTCTAAGAGGTAAAGTTTCAGAGTAACAATCATCAGAGCGCTGCCAACAGTTTTGAGCAGCCACTGCTGTGCTGGCTTGAATCAGATTTCAATCAATAAACCAGAGGTGAAAGGCACTGCTGCTCATCCTGTTGGAGAACTTCCTTTCCTTTATTTGCCATTCAATTTAGCAGTTAGGATTTCTTCCAAACATGTGAAGGTTAAGTATCAAAGCAACAGGCAAGCCTATTCTGTGCCGTATAGTTGAAACTGTGGTTTTGTGAACAAATACTTAAGTGCATATTGCCATTGAAGTAGCATTGATTTGGGTTTGGACTTGAATGGTTAGCAAATGGCTTCTCAGCCCTTTACTGCCCATGAGGAGCCTGGCAAACAAGTCTGGCAAAGCTTTCCTACACTTAATTTTGACACAAGTGTTTTCCCTGTGGTCACTTAGACACAGAACTTTCAATGACTGAGTGAGCCATTAAAATCTGTTAGTATACTGGGATGTAGCTAATTATCAGCAGACACAAATGACTTTTAAAAATGTGATTATCTGTCGTTTAACCTGTCCTATCAGTTGTGATGGATCTGCCATTAATTTCTACCTTTTCCCCCCTTTTTTTGCCAACGTTAAGTGGCTAAAAGCCAAGGTAAGAAGTGTTATTTCTCCTTTGACCCACAGTGCCTCATGTGACTGATAGTAGAGGCTGCAGAGCCATTAAAACTGAAAACTAGTGCGCTCCCATGCTCTCCTCTGCTTTCCATAGGATATTTAGATTAAACATGCTATACTTGATTTTTTTTTGTTTACAGCATTTAGCGTGTGCCAATGTATCTATGATACATTGACATCTGCATTTAAACATAGATACATTAATTTCTCTAACACATGTAGTGCTTTGCTCTGAATTCAGTAGATGCCTTGTTTCCCTTCACTTACATATTTTGCAGGAGACTTCCCAGACAACCTGAATGACTCTGGTAGTCAAATTGGAGGAGCAAATTGAGAAATTCTGGGCCCATGCTGACTGTGTTGTATTGTCAGAGTAAAGGTTGATTTAAATTATTAACGCCTGTATGGAGATGAACACAAATGTGGCTTCCCTTTAAAGAAAAGAGGACATACGAGATTTGTGCATGAACCTGTCAATTGCCTACCTTTCTGATGTCTGCTGTAAATTAATAGCAAAAATAACATTAAGCTTGTCTTTAGACTCTCTTTGTTTACTGGTGTCCGTCTTGCGTGTAGCTGAAAACTTGCTGTTTGACAGCTGTCTGGGAATTCTCACTTCATAATCTTACACTTAAAAAAAAAAAAAAAAAAGCTGTCAATAATAAGGCTGCTCTGTTATAAAAATAAAATCATGTTTTCCCTTATTTCAGCATGGAAATAACCAGCCTGCAAGAACTGGCACCTTGTCAAGAACAAATCCGCCTACACAAAAACCACCAAGTCCTCCCATGTCAGGCCGGGGAACTCTGGGGTAAGAATGAAGACTGCTTGGTTCTGCCCATGATATAGGAAGTTTTAATTGTGCTAGTGTTGGTGTGTCATAAATACGTGGATACATGGCAATTCTGATTGCGTTTAGCAAAAAACATAGTTACCTTTTCTGTATAAACCCTCTCAGCTGTACTGACTCTTATTTTCGTTATGACCTTTTGAAATAATGTTTTTTCATGGGTGAAGAATTTATTATAGATATTAGTAAATGAGGAAGCGAGGCTATTGCTATTCCTGATTTTTGGGGAGAGATCCTTAGTAACACAAAAGAAAAACAAGAAGTTTTAACTTCAGTGGGAGAAAGAATTGTAAAAGTTTTGGACTGCTCATTTTTCAATACGTTAACAAGTATGATATGGCTATTGGCTCTATATTTGTATTATCTAAGCAAAATTTGTGGCATTGCAAACACTGATTCTCTTAGACATTTTTATTTTTATGTTTAATTGAGGAAGGATTTTGCTATTCCCAAGTCCCAGTGTGATCATAGTTACTTGCTGTAGCATCTATTTTGCTGCTGTGGACCTGTGGGGAAAGAAATCTGCTTATCTTGGTGTGCCAGCAAGTAATTGTTGCTAGGGGCCAGAACATTAATGCTTGAGAAGCTCAGAGCATGTGCCATATGGTTTTGTCTGTCCAACTGTGCAGCTTCTTCCAAAAGGCATCCTAAACAAGACCTTCTACCTGTTTGTCACTTTGCCTTTTCCTTTGTGCTGTGGGGGACTGAGACACTGTGAAGCTGGCTGGCAAAGTTGTATTCGCTTCAGGTGTGTTGTCTGTGAGCAGTGTGGAGCTGGAAAAATGAGGAATAATGGAGGTGGAACAAGATGGGGATCAGGAGCAATGGTCAAGGAAAATTAGAAGCAGCAACTCCTTTTCTCAAAGACCGAGTGATTTTTTTAATCCTGCTTTGCTGCTTCACTATTGCAGTGTTTGTTGTGTATTCTGCAGAGAAATTACTCTGGAGGTTTCCTCAGCATGTTTTGTGAAAATTCCCATTGCTCAGGGGCATGTAATCAGTATTCCAATTGTCTTTGTTATCCCAGCTGAGAGAGAGTTGTTTATCAGCCCTGGGAAACTGGGTAGTGCTTTCATGTCCTCTTGGATGGTTGCTAGTGAAACAGCAGTGTTGGATGTGCTGGTGAGCTGCCTCTTTCTAATGCTCCCCCCTGAACAAACCAGAGCTGTTTGGTTGCCTTCACTGATGCCTGATAAGGATTAATCAGCTGAACATCATTTCCAGATGAGCTTGACAAGAGGCAGCAGTTGGCTGAGGGGGAGGAATAATGTGGGTTTGTAACAAGAGATTTCTATCTGCCCTTGTTCAGGAAGTACAGCTCTTGTCTTGAGCTGACGTGTTCTGCCAAAGCATGAAATATCATAGGCTTGACTGCTTCCCTAATACATGCAGAAAAAATTGCTAGAAACCGCAAGGGTACTAATCTTCACCTTTTGATCCAGAAAAGAGATAAGCATTTAAAATCAGAACAAGCTTGGTGTCTAACATGGGCCTTTAAGTAGGTGCTGCCTGTTGTGCAGCTTGTCCCTCCAAGGCAGAACTATCTGAAGGAATGTGGTGGGGAGAGAGCCCTGCACAGAAATTGCTTAGGCTGAAAAGGGAAAGGACCGGCAGGAAAGCAGAGGTCTCTTCACTAGACCAGGGAGAGACTGTGGAAAACCTTGGACACTTAGGTTGGAGGTACCACAGGAGAAAGAGTGAATTGCTGGAGCTGTATGGAGGCAGTGGTTGCAGCCATGTGTTGAGGGTCCTGGAGCAGAGCAAGGCCTTGCTGTAGCTCTCTGTGATGGCAATGGACATCAGCACTTCACTGAATCCATGAGGAGTACTAGGCAGTAACAGGAAAGAATGTTTTCCTCATCCTTTCAAGTGTGGCAGAAAAGCAAAAGGAAGGATGGGACTTCAGTGATGGGAAGAAATTGTTTTTTACTTCTCTGATGCTTAGGAGTTTGAGTTCTTCAGTGAAGCTGAGAAGAACAAAGGAGAAACTGAGGCATGGCTGAACCTGAGGATTTGGTCAGGGTTTGCTTTAGACAGTATATTTAAACTGTAAAGGCAAAATAAATAGTACTGCAAAGCTGAGGAGTAGTTCCCATAGCTAGTGCATTCCAGGGTAGCATACATTAAAACATTAGTTTTCAAGATTTATTTCTGTTGAAACACATTTGAAATCTTTCCTGCTTATAATTTTATCTGGTGATATTTAGAGCTCTCTCTCTTACAACTGGAATACAGAGTTGCTTTATCTTTCCCACGAATGATTGCTTCTGGCAGATCTATGGGTGGTGGCAGCCTGCATAGTAAAATCATCTGAACTTCTTTGTATAGACAAACTAATTTGCAAATACTGCAGTGCATGTATACAATTATGGTATTTCCACTTTCTCTTTGAGAGGCTTTAATAATAAAATGTGATAGTTAAAATTTAGTACTATTGTGTTCCATATTGTAAAAAGGAATTTAGTGAGTTTCTTAAATACCAGGAAGCTGTATAACTTACCAACTCAGTTATAACCAGTGTTTGAACAAATGATTAAATGTCTGTAGTTTAGTACTATTTTTGTTTTGGTTAGCTGGTGCACTGCCAAATTCCATGTCTTGCAAGAGATCTCTTAGGTACTGGTCAGAAATGGAGAGCTCTGCAATTCAGTACAATAAATGCACTGTTCTTAAGGGAGAATGGGTCTGGTAAATACATCATGAAAGATCTGTGTTACGTTTCTGACTTGATGTGCTCTGCTAGGTGACCCTATAATTCTCTGGGCTTCATTTTCTTTGGCTGCAAAATGGAGACAATGAAGCTCATCTGTGAAGCACTTTTAAGATCTGCTTAAGTGATATGAGATTGCTTGATTACTGCATGAAGTAATGCCACTAGATAGGAAGAGCACTGGTAATTGCAAATGTAACTTGTTCAGTGAATCTTTCAGCATTACCCTGTCTTAATGAGTTGAATACCTTTAATCAGGAGTGCTTTTGGAAAGCATTTGGAGGGGGAGGGAAAGGGGGCAGGGGGGAAAGAGGAAATTGTTACAGTGGAGGAGTTTATCATGTGCACTGTGCTGAAAGGTAACTCCAGATTGTTATGTGGATGTAACTATTGGATGTTATGTAGTTCATAGAATATATTTTGGGTGATAAATTTACGTTACACTTTTTAAATCCATTTATGTGCTGCAGGCCTGCTTTATGGATCTATCTATGTAAGGGCACTTTAGAGAGTTGAATGTAACCTGCTTACCCTGCCTGGTGGAATTTGTTTAATACAGTGGACTGTGGGTCACTGTGTAGTGATCTCTGATGAAAACTTAGGAAACAAATGGCTGCACTACTTCATTAATTTATCCTTTTGATCTTCTGATCCTTTATTTTTCTTTCTTCAAATCTTTTTTCCTTGACCAGACGAAATACTCCTTACAAAACCCTGGAGCCAGTCAAACCACCAACAGTCCCCAATGATTACATGACCAGTCCTGCCAGGCTGGGCAGTCAGCACAGTCCAGGAAGGACAGCTTCCTTGAACCAGAGACCACGAACACACAGGTAGAGCATTTTCTTTCTGAAGCTCTTTCCTGCCTCATATACTGATGCTTACTGAAGTCAGATAAAAGCTTTGAAGCTTTATGCTTCTTGGCTTTTTGTTGAAAGGCAAAAGGTGAGTTATTCTTCCATGCTGCATTAACAGAACATCACTGTATTGTTGACTTCTCCAACACACAGAAATTTCTTCACACTCTCTAGAAGCCTTAATGTATCTAGCAACATCCATAACCACAGGCTTCATTTTGTACAATTAATTTATTTTGTTGTGTGATGCTTTTTTCCCAAGAATAAGAAAAACTTCCAAATTTATTCAGTTGCAAGGTAGGATAGTGATAGATTCTAATGGTTTTAAAGCTGCATTATTAACCTTAGCTTAAAATACACTTAGGCTTTTTTTGTTGTTGTTTTCAAGACCACTAATTATAAAGGGAAATTTCTGTTGATTAGGAACACTGTGATGGAAGGTACTTTGAAAGAGCTGATTGCTTTATTTTGGTTAAAACATAACACTCATGATCAGTGCTAACTTTAAAAAAAGTAGAAAATAAAACCTATTCATAAAGCAGATACATCAGCCACTTGTTTCCACGTGCTTAGAGGCTTTGGTGACCGAGTAGCGTATGTTTCAGGTGAGAAGGGTGTTCCAATTATACCTTGTTTGGGTTTGGTTTGTTTTTTTTAAATGTGTTGTTGTTTTTTTTTTTCTATTTGCAAGGCTAGCTCTTCTCTGAGCCTCTTGAATGAGTTCAGTTTTTTCAGTTTGATTTTTGTCATAGGCTTCAAACTGCAGGAAAGAAAGAGACCAAAGAATTGAGTGCAGTTAAAAGTAAGGTGTTAGCTTATTTTTTAGGAGAGCTTTTTTTCTGTTGTTTTTTTTCCAACTCCCAGAAGACAACTCCCAGAAGTGTTATAACTAACACAGTAGGTCACTAATAGGGATCAAGACAGTAATTTGGGTCAATTGATCATGGATTACTGTCAGAATTAAGTAACTTCTGAATCTGTCTGCAATGAAGATCATCTTAATCTGTTTAGCTGGCTACTGTGAATGCTCCCTACTCTGTCTCACAAGATCTTTTTATGTAGACTGCAGTTAGAAATTCAGCCGCAACCATGGTGACAAGATCAAGGTCTTCGGCAGATAGAACATTAATTTTGAAGGAGTTATCTTGGCTTCCATTTTATATCACTGAGTTGCTTTTTGTAATAATGTTATTTTCTTAAGATATATTTGAATGATCTCTGCTTGACTGTTGACAGCACTGCCTTGTAGCTACCCAGGAATGGTAAATAAACTGTAACATCAGTACTCTTTAATTGTCATGGATGCATTAAAGTGGTGTTTTGGCCTCAAAACATCTTGACTACTTAGTTCCCTTTATATTATCAATTTAATGTAAATTCAAGCCTTGATGTAGGCAGTGCTCTTGCATAAGAATAAGGAGAGATTCCACCTGAATCTTGATTTTTCTTCATCTCTCTCAATGAAGTGTGATGTCCTCCAAAGAAGTGTAGAAATGTTATTCAGTAATTCAACAGAACTATGTTCTTTAAAAATCTGTATTGCTGACCTCTAATTTTTATATCATATAATGACATGTATTGTGATCTGGCTGTATTGTTACCTTTCAGAGTATCTTAGAAACAAAATTCTCGTATGCAAAAAGTGTGAGCATGGGCTGTGGGGGGAGTGTTAGCTATACTGAAAATTAGCCACACCATGTGAAACCCCAGTTGGTTTATCATGGCTGTTCTCAGTTAAAAAGTTCTCAATCTAAACTGTTGTGAGTAGAGGAAATGTTCCTTCAGCCAACATCATAAATAATCTTGAATTATTATTTGTAGTTTAGGCATTAACTCTTCCTGCCCCAGCTTATTCCTTTCAAATATTACAAGGCCTCTGAACTGTTCATGCAGTTGTTACTTCGTCGCCTAGAACTGGTATGGTTGCTTACCTTTTCATTTTTTAAAGCATTTAATTAGGCATTTTATGCATAGTGATGTTTATGAGCTTGACTAACTCAATTTATTAGGGGTGCAGTTCATCCAGAGTTGATTAGCTGTTTGCAATTGTAGGTAGAGACAGAGGCATTTCATAGGGGATTTTTTCAACAGTCTATAATTAAGTTAGGCTAGCAGAGCTCTCACAAGAAGTGTGAGCACCTTTGGGCCGGGCCTTTGTAGGAAATGCTGTGCTAATACTTGTGTTTTTCTTGTATAGTGGTAGTAGTGGAGGAAGCGGCAGTCGAGAGAACAGTGGCAGCAGCAGTATTGGCATTCCCATTGCCGTGCCTACACCTTCACCGCCAACCATTGGACCAGGTATGTGGGGCTCTTCCCGTGGTAACTTCAGGCTGTAGTGTCAGTCGCTTGTGTTTGCAGAGGGATTTTGACTGAACACGAGGTGATAGAAACTGCCCTGAGGCACAATCAGAAAATCTCTTATGAGTGCTGAGGGACATCTACAGTTTTAATTCTTTACCAAAAGTACTTGCAGAACAATCACTTATAGAATAGTGGGTGTTTAAAACACCTTTGTTGGTCCATATTTTTACAAGCTAATCAAAGAGAGGAGGGGATAGAAGGAGAGATGCATATATTTCTAAATGCCTATCTACAGTTTGGCATTTCTGGATGCCCTGAGAAGCAGCAGCAACTACATAAATGTTTGATGGGACATGTTGCCTTCTGAAATAGTCTGCTAACTTAACCATCTTCCAATGATGGTATGTACATATTCTTTTTTAATTAAATAAAAGTCTTACAATAAAACACAGAAGATGACTATGAAAACACAGCTAGTAGCAGCAGTAGAATTCAAGCTTATCCACCAGTGTTGTTTATGCTAGGATTACAGTTGCTAAGCTATATTGGAGATCATTGAGAGAGGCAGGAGAACTAGTGTGTGTAAGATGGCACAGCAATAGAAGAGAACAGTGCAGGATCTCTCAGCATTAAAAGCATACTCCCTTATCTTTAAGAAGGATATATGGTGAGAATGTGTAGAATCCTTCCTTATTATAAGCCAAGCAGCTCAGTCACCTGTTTGCTATCTGTGTATTTTGTAAGCACATAAAGCTGATTTGCACAAGAGAACAGTGTAATTTTGGTACTGCATCTCTTATACCTCTGCTCCTCAGATGACAAGTCTTCACTTATGCAGGTGTAGACTTTCCTTTCCCAGCTGTTTCTGATCCTAAATTGGTACAGATAGGCATGAAATCTTAATTTTTTCTGGCATCCTAAAAAACATCATCAATGGGAATAAAGATTTGCAGGTACAGAACCCTATGTAGTTTCAAGGCCTGAGTTTGTATCAGTTGATCAAAGCTGTATTTCTGTATTTATTTGGGAAGCCTATCAAGTGCCCGTGCTTTTTTGTTTATTAGTTTTTTAAAATATATGGCCTAATTAGGAATATGAACTATTTTATTAGCACATATTTCTGTTCCTCCTCCTCCTGGAGCCCCGCCAGCACCACCACTGCCACCACCTCTCCCGATGGGCAGTCTGATAGGTGAGACTTGTGTCAATGCTGAAGTGATTGCAGTCATGCAGCATAATCAAATAATCATCTCTTCCTAATGGACTTAGTGAAGTTGTTTTTTCTTTTGTAGTGGGGTCTACATGATTCTGGTGTAAAAATCAGTTCTGGGATTTTTGTATTTATTTATTTTTTAAACAAATCTAATCTCCACTAATTTATTGTGGTTAAAGCCTCTGAATGCACAAGGCAGGGGGGAAAAGCTGCCAGTTGCTTGAAATCTCTGTTCCCAAGAAAGCTAAGATGCAAATAATCTGATCTTTAAGAACTCAAAATTAGCATAAATGTTGGTATTCTGCTGTGTCGCTCCTGCAGCTGAAACTAAGCCACTACAGTTGCATTCTGGCTTAACGGTAGCTGATGTGTAGGGTGATGTATGCATTCTATGCTGTGAGCAGAAGGGGACTGAAAAGCAGAAGTGTCTGTCACAGTGGCTTGGGTTTCAATCTCTAATGCTGCAGGTGGGTGGCAAACTGGAGGACTTGAGGATATGAACTAACAGTTCTTGGAAAATTGCTTCACGCGTTACATGTAGCTGATAGGGCAAAATCTGAAAGTTGTACTTTTCAAAACAGGCAGGAAAAATACCCCACCCTCTCCTATCATAGGCTGATGACAAAATTAATTGTGTTATGAAACTAGCTTTGGAGGCTTTGACCAATATAACCCTTTGCACTTTCTCTTACTTAAGTGTTAAGCGAAAGTGACTGTGGCTATCATTACAAGACTGCAAACTGCTGATGACACACTGTTTATGTATATGTGGATATGCATTTTTGTGTGTATTTATATATAGCTATATATATGCGTATAAAAGCACAAAACATTTTCTTGCAAAACAATTTTTGCATTTAAAAATGCAATGTGATATCAATTCGTGAGATTCTTTTCTCTATCAGAAATTAATCCAAAAGAGAACTTCAGTTGTTCTATTAACCTTGAAGTTTGTGCAGCAAGCATGTGGAAGGTAAAAATGGGTGTTCATCTTGAAGAATGAAAGACATGTCTTTCTGTCAGCTGGCATTGCTGATTCTTATTTGTTACTGCAAATTCCATCAATATAAAAGCACAACTAGCAAGTATGATTTATAAATGTGCTGAGTGTTTGAAGCTCATTACATTTATTTTACTGTTTTGTTAGAGTGTCTTTTTATATTAGATTGGAGACAAGTTCTGGCTCATAATGGAGAGCTTTTTCTTTAAGCAGAATGTGGATTTTTTTTTTTCTGTGTTTTTTGTAATAAAGGGTATTGCATGTAGAATAATTGAGATATGCTTAGGAATTGGAAGCTGATTCAATTTTCCAGTCCAATCCAGTCTCTCAATGTAGTTCTCAGCATTTCTCAAATGCCCTTCATATGAGTGTTGTTTTATGTCCTGTGTGTTTTTTCTCATTATTGATTATAACAGGGATGTTTGGTTTCTGTTAATCTCCTGTTAACTGGCCTTAAGTTATTGGAGACCTGTAATCAAGTATTTCTGGGCTTTTTTCTGTTTTCTGCATTCTGTCCCAAGTAATGCTCTGCTTAAGTCTTCTCCTTGGTTCCTCTGGCTAATGCTTTTCAGCTGCTCCGGGTTCAGCTCCTGGTTCCCAGTATGGCACAATGACCAGGCAAATCTCGCGACACAACTCTACCACTTCTTCAGCATCTTCTGGTGGATACAGACGGAATACTTCTGTGACTGCCCCATTTTCTGCTCAACCTCATGTTAATGGCGGGCCTCTTTATTCTCAAAATTCAAGTAAGCTGCTGAGCTCTGAAATCAAAAGCTGTTTTGAGCAAAATGATTGTAAACGCATGCATGGCATTTTAATTAATTTATGAAAAATGTCAATCTGATTACTGCTTTCTTTCCTAAAATAGAAGGAAAAACAAACAAGAAAAACCATATTGGAGTTGTACAGTGATTGCACTATATGCAATTATACTGTTTTCCCCTCTGAATTGTTTGCTTTTACTCATGACAAAAAATTATGATTGCCTATCTAATTATAGGCACATTCTACTTAGCATTTCAGGTGTGCTTGAAGAACATAAACTAAAAGCAGATATTTTTTTTTCAGGAGACCTAATACACTTGTAGTATAGTCCCTCCACTGCTGGGCTAGTGGCAAGAGAGTACTGTCAGAGCACAGTGCTCATGTAACAAACTTTTCCCATTACACAGTTCCTCTCTGTCTCTTTCCTAAATCCTTTCTTGATTACAAGTTTATCCTTTGTCCTTAGTTTTAACCTCAGCTGTTAAAGAAGAGCTCAGTCTCTCTCTTTTTACAGACTCCTCCTCTGTGCTTTCACACTTGCAGTAGTATAGATGGAGATGAATGAGGGAAGGGATGTATACCGTAGGGAAGCAAGAAGGTTTTAGTCAGCAGCATCCTGCCTACTACCCAACAGGGCAAATGAGGTTAACTGCAGAAAGATCTGCAGGACAAGGATCTACTTGAGTGTTTGTACAAAGCTGTTTCTATCAGGAAAATTATTCCTTGCCATTTCCATAAATTTTGACCAGACAAACAGGGAGGAATGATAGTCCTCTTTACAAGTATTTGATTTTTCAGAAAACATTATTATATCCAGACAGATTACCTTTTTTTTTAATCTGATTTTTCTTGTACTCTCTCTCACTTATGCTGGCTCTTCATTTTCCTCCACCTTCTTGTTTCCCCAAATTAATTCACCATAACAACAGAAGCTCCTTCATGTTTGAACAGTTATGTTCTGTTGAATAAACAGAGCTTTACTTCTGAAAATAGTTCATTTGTCTTAAATGCAGTGCACACCACCGGTTCTGAATTTTTATATTTGTTCAAAGCAATTTTTTGCTCAAATGCAGGTGCTGTTCCTTAATCTAGCTTCTCTGGTGTTTTCAAAATACTGATTGTCAACATTTTAAACCAGTATTTTGATGGATGTGGTTTTCTACTCTAAACTGTTTTCCTCTGTTTCTGTAACTGGTGATTTTATTTATTTATTTTTTAATGCTGCTGTCTTGACATTAAATTCAGGTCCCATGTTTCCTTAAGGTTTTACTTTTCATGCTAACAAACACTCTGTTTTTTCTTAGATGTTTACTTCAATTTTGTGAGAAACCTGTTTGTTATCCCTCTCTTATTGATAATTTCTTCCATACCGTTTATCTGGTTATTAGTTTTGTAATGAACTAAATGCTCCATTTTTATTCATCAGACATTAATCTTAGTTATGGCTTTATTTAAAACCGTTGCTTACTTGGAAATACAGAACCTCTTTCAAATTTGGTTCCAACTGGATTACCCTGCTGAATTTCCATCTTCACAAGAATTTCTCATCTTCAGTGCAAGAGAAATTCCACTGAGAAGGAGGATGGTATAAACAAATGAGTTAATGTTATGTTGGGTTTTTTCATTTTCTTCTTTTCCCTACTTCATGGGTAGATGTCCTGTCAGAGCTGATACTTGGAATGGTGTGCCCTACCATGCCTCTTTCCTTCGTGTAGAGGGAGGAGCTGGACATCTTAGCTGTCAGCCCGCATCTCTGAGCACTGGTGCCACGTGTCTCATATCTTATTACTCACCAAATGGGTACATATTTCAGAGAAGATGAGCTTGGAAGAAGTGTTTCTTGGCAAGCTCTGCATGCTAGTGTAGCCAGTGATAGCTGTTGAAGACTTCATCAGCCTTTTAGGTTGCTGAGTGCCTCTAACCACAGAAGACTTAATAATTTATAATAAAGCTCTCTTCTGGTCTAAACCCATTTGATTTTCCTACCAGTGAGCAACAAGGTCTCTTTTTCTATGTAAAATGAAAACATAGTAAGCTAACCCACTTCCCTCTGTCCCAGCAGAAAAAAATTGCAAGAGGTACTCTCTGTATGAATATGAAATTGCAGCATTATTTCCCTCATAAAGCAGTTGACTTTGCTCATTCTCAGTGCTGCTTTGCTGCACTTGATGTAGCATTCTACTCTTACTTTACAGGAGTCCAGAATCCTGCAAAACATCACCTCTACTTCTAGTAGCCTACTTTTAAAAGATAACTACTGAATTTCAGTAAACCTCATTTGGCAGCAAGATGAAAAGCTCAGTATTTTGTGTGCTCCCCAAGTGAAGCAGAGCAGGTCCCTTCACATGTGCACCCTGTGAGCTTCCAGACACGCATCCTGTGCTTGGCTTTTTGTTCAGCTAAACACAGGGGCATGCTTTGCTTTTTGATCCTCGATTGGCTAACCACGAATTCAGCCTTGTTGGGAACACAAGCTTGAAGAAGGTTCTTCTGTGTGTGTGTTCTTGTTGTTCTTGACATACTTTGTTTTGTGGTCCTTGTTACTGACGGCTGCTTTTGTTTGTTTCTTTTTTTTTTTTTTACTTTTTTTTCCCCCTCTTTTTTTATTGACGGCTGCTTTTGTTTGTTTCTTTTTTTTTTTTTTCCTTTTTTTCCCCCCTCTTTGTCTGTTTGACTTTTCCCTGATATGGTGTGTGTGTTGCTACCAGTTTCTATCGCTCCACCCCCTCCCCCTATGCCTCAGTTGACTCCACAGATACCTCTCACAGGCTTCGTGGCCAGGGTGCAGGAAAACAGTAAGTTTGGACAAGCTGAGCTGTTAAAGGGTAGAGCCTACTTTCTTCTAGCATGCATGGCTGGCAAGTCAGACTCTTATTTTGTTTCCTTTTCCAGAAGCTAATACCATCTTGCATTCTAGTGTCAATATGCTATTGGAGCTGAAGGGCACACTCTTCAGTGTTTTATAACATGTGCATGATTATTACTGACCCATTTGTTCCAAACTGCAAAATTATTATAGAAATAGAGTGTGAAATACGTGGCATCTGCTTGATATGAATATAGAAATGTATCTTATTAAAAATATTAATTTCATGTTGAACCATCCTGCCTGAGGCTTTTTCACTAGTGATAATTGATTAGATTTTATTAGAAAGGCTTATGTAGACTGTCAAAATATGTACTGTGTAACCACTGACTCTAATACTGTAGTAATGCTTAAGAAGCTGTACAGTTAATGGAAAATGTGCAGTCTTATGATCTAATGCCATTACAAAGGAGCTTGTAAGATATTGTAAGGTTCTGCAGCCTTTCACTCTCCATTTCTCTATATTCTCCAGTCAGATTTCCCTACTGAGCTTCTTGCAGCGTAGCTCTCTGCTTGTTAGGTTTGCAAGAGATGTGCTCCCTGGCTGTGATCTGTACTGCAAGGTGGTTTATACTGGTAACTCTGCTTTTACCATTACTGCTTGATTCATCACAGGTGGATGTTACTGTCCCAAATGATAGTGCAGGTATAGTTGTGTTTCTGATCTGAGAACGTCTTTCCTATAGGAGTACATTGCAGCTCCGTAAACAACAGAATGAATGCAATATAGACAGGGCATGAAATAAGTAGAAAATGTTTTTAAAGTGCTTGGGAGCCACAGCGAAGTTTGCTGGGATCTCAGGAGCTACTACTGCATAGTAGCTATATAGCTCCAGCATACATTTAGGAGCCCTCAGTTTTGCATAGTGCTGCTGTTCATCTTCCCATTAGAGCTTTTAAGTGGTCATGTGCTGAGCATTCCTTTAGAGACAGGAGGTATTTTGTTGTTGTGCTAGATAGATAGTAAGAATCATGTTGATGTAGAATAGTGTGCCACAAAATTTTATTGATAAACCTTTCCAAAATTCAAAGTATAGTGTTAAACCCACTGAAGATTAAGGTTACAGAATGTCTTCACTTGCAGATAAACTTGAGAAAATTGACACCTGCTTCTGAACGGTTCCAAGTTTTGTCCTCCTGTAGATAACACAGCCCTTGGGAGAACAGGGGTGAAAGGGACAGACTTACTCGTGTGTGAAACAACAAAGTGCAAGCTGACTTGTGAATGAGATTGCAGAAAAAATAGCTGAAACTTGAAATCTAGTTTTAGGAATCGTTCTTTTAAATTTCTTTCTTTTAACACTCCCTTGGGTTTGAGAGTTACATAACAAGTATAGCTTTGAGCTGCTGCTGCCTCATTCCAGAGGCAGGAGTGCGTGTGGCCATCCGCACATACGCTCAGCAAAGCTGGCTGCAGAGGCTGTTGTTGAGTTTTGGCATTGTGTGCTAGACTTTCATCTGCCTCATCTTCTGCAAGATGTCTACGGGGGAGTGGAGTTCAGGAGATGTGTGGGTAGGCTTGTCTTTTCCTGATCATAAAGATCTGTGGCTTTGGAAAGCAACATCCTCTGCTCCGTGGACATCTTTCAGAGAACGAGGACAGAGGGCTTAAAACTGTGCAACGTGTCTTTTCCTGCGCCCTGTGCCCATGCTGTGGGTATCTCCTTCCAGTGTGTCTGGTGCCCAAAGACAACTGATGGATGTAAATTGCTGTACTGTCACACCCAGTCCTTTAAAAAGGAGTCTGCTGGTCTTCACTTAAAGAACAGGGACGTGAATACAGACAAGAAAAGAAGTCTTAATTTGGAGCTGTATAAATACTGGTCTTCTTACCCTTTCTCATAGCAACATCCTCTGCTCCGTGGACATCTTTCAGAGAACGAGGACAGAGGGCTTAAAACTGTGCAACGTGTCTTTTCCTGCGCCCTGTGCCCATGCTGTGGGTATCTCCTTCCAGTGTGTCTGGTGCCCCAAGACAACTGATGGATGTAAATTGCTGTACTGTCACACCCAGTCCTTTAAAAAGGAGTCTGCTGGTCTTCACTTAAAGAACAGGGACGTGAATACAGACAAGAAAAGAAGTCTTAATTTGGAGCTGTATAAATACTGGTCTTCTTACCCTTTCTCATTTAGTGTGGTTTCCTGTATGCTTTTTTTTTTTCCCTCCCCTAGGAAAAGTAACACTATTTTAGAGTCTGCCTGCTTTAAGTTCAGAACCAGGAAGAGTCTAGGTTAAAATGAAAGAGGTGGGGGGATGCTTCCATGGGGTGGCACTTGTCTAATTTTTTGTTCCATTCTCTCCCCTTGTTTAAATGTGAAGTTGAACTGTTTTAAATGATTCCCATAAAGCATGCAGTGTCTGCACTGCATCTCAGTTAGGGTGTGTGCTGGCGCTTCCACACTTGCATTTCCTGCCCTCTTCTTTTTAAATAAGTAACTTCATTTTTTAATAAATGCAACTTTTTGCATTTCTTAAGGTAAGGATTTCTCAAGATCTTAAAGGATTGTTGTTTCAATACTGGCTTTTTATCCTGTCTGCAAAAAAAAATTAAGGGGAGAAATATTCGTTCTGTGAAAGATGTGCTGAAACTACTGCACAAAGCCAATCCATTCACAAACAGTGTTGTCATGTGTCTGTGGTGGATTAATGAAGCCTGCCTGTGAGTGCTATTCAGTAACACAGGCAAGACATAGTGTTCAGTTGTCCAAGGACTTTGTTAGTCTGTCTCCAAGTGACATAAGTGGGCTTCTGTATGGGAGAGGAATCACTAATACAGGGGCTGCCAGTCTTACTGATTCAGAGAGCTGTGGGCATACAGCTCAGCTGGTCAAGTTGGAGAAGAGCTGGATTTGCAGGTGAAATACAGCATTAGCTCTTCAAGGAATAGAAAGCAGGCTGGGTGCCAGAGCTGAGGCAGCCTCTGCCCCAGCAGCTTCTGGTGGCTTCTGCCCCCTCACAGCAAGAGATTTGGCTTCCCCTATACCAGTGCAACCAGTCTGACCCAGCTAGGACATGGGAGCTGTGCTCAAGCCGCTTGTCAGGGGCACGTGGCTGAAAAGCAAACATTAGTCACTGCTGGAGCAGTGGCCAGGCAAAAGTAAAGAGCATTAAAGCAAACAGAAGCCCTATTTCTAATCTGCCGTACCTAGCAATAGCTAAGGCTTCTCAGTGTTACTCTTTCCTTGCCCTACAGCTTGGCTTTTTCCTTGAAATCAGTGTACTGTGCTGAAGCTCCAAGCTCTGGAGCACATGCCCAGCCTGATGTCATACCTTCCAGTCAAACCCAAAGCCTCTTCTCGGTGTACACACCCCCAAATCTCTTGTAATTATATCTATATTGCTATATAACAAAATTGAGTTTAGTAACAGCAGCTTCCTTTCAGTAACATGGGCTTCCTAGTGCTTACACCTAGGTCTGTGTGTAGTGAACCAGAGTTCCCAAGGAACAGGATAAGTGACTTGATGTCTTGCAGCTGAGCATATTCTCTGTCTCCTCTGCTGCCAGCTGCTGTGAACATTACTGAAAACTAATTTGATGAAGTGATTTTAAGTGATTTGTACCATAATGCCTTTCTCCTTTTCCCTTTCCCTAAGCAACTCGTAATTGTGCTGATTGGAGAATCTCAGGGCAGAGATTTGACATTTTGGATTATGTACTTAATTCCTTGAGCACTTTTTCCCCAAGAGCAGCAGCTGCCTGTTGTAGTTTTCCATTTATTAGTTGAATCCTGGATGTGTGCACACACACACAAGGTAGTCTATAAGATAAGGACCTTTGCAAAGCTTTTCTTCTGCAGAAGGATTACTTGGCTTTCTCTCACCTGGTTAAATCTTAAACACTAGTCTCTTCTCTTTTTTTATGATGCACACCAGATCTTGTCCCCTTAACACTAGCTCTGAGAGAGAAGGGATCCAAGGAAGCTGTGTTGATAAATACATTAAGTGATTGTTATAGAAGGATTTGTTAAAAAATAATCAAGCTGCTGGTCTAGTCCAGAGGCCTGTTGCTGCCTGGCTCAGAGGTGCCACTCGGAGTCCTCCTATAGCTAAGGGCTGCAGAAGCCCCGCAGCGTATGGACTTCACAGCAGGAAGCTTTCCCCCCTGCTGGTGTTCAGCTTATGCCCCGCAGCATGTGCTTTGACTCTAGTAGCATTTATACATAGATTTGACCACTAATAGCAACTGTAGCTGTGTGTTGTAGATGCTAATACAAAGCCTCTGTTCCTAATCAGTGCATGGTATTATAGTGCATGCTATGTGTGTTGTTCGCCCCACCCCTTTTATTTACAGTGTGCAGCCTCAGGTTTGTTTGCATCCCCACACTGTTTTGATTTAAGAAAAAAAAATAATCTCCAAACGTTTCTAGTTGCTGATAGCCCGACTCCTCCCCCACCACCGCCTCCCGATGAGATGCCGATGTTTGATGACTCTCCTCCTCCTCCACCCCCACCCCCCGTGGATTATGAGGATGAGGAGGCTGCTGTTGTGCAGTACAGTGATCCCTATGCAGATGGAGATCCTGCTTGGGCACCTAAAAACTATATAGAGAAAGGTAAGAGAAGTGTTGCAACTCTGTGTTACTGCAGAATCAGAGGATTAATGGTATCTGGAGGGGATGAAGGACTTAGCTTGGGTCTGATGAAAACAGGCATTGTCCCTGATAAGTCAGAACTCGAACCATTATCTTCTTGGTTTGTCTGTGGCTATGCCTAATGTGATAAAATATAAGCCTTTTTTGGAAGGATTATAAAATACCTTCAAGCACTCTAGAATGGATAAAAATATCCCTTGTTATGAGAAGCAGATGTAAATTGAATAGCTTTCATCTTTGCTGAGCTGCTGGACTCTGTAGCTACCTGAGCATTGCTTGGCAATGATCTAGAAACAGCATTGCAAAAGGGCCAGAAAGTCCAAGCTTTATTTATCCTATCCAACTAGGTAGCTAGAGTGGATCATTAGACTTTCAACTATAAAATGTAGTGAAGTGAGTTTCCTTGGAGACTTATTAGTGACTCTAAATCAGCAGTCTATGAACTGTACTTAGGTAGGAACTCATATAGTAAATGTCTTTTCCCATGAATAATTGAGATGCTGATTTCCTGCCTGTAGAGTTGCCTGTGTTCTGACAATGACCATTTTGTCAACAGCAATGTTGCAAGTTTTCTTATGATCAGGCTGATACTGCAGTGCATAGGGAACAGGGTAGGGTACCCGTGTACCTGTCTTGGCAGAACTGCTGTGTTCTGTCTTCACTCCTGGCTGGACTGTGCACAGAACGTTCTCATGGGATGACAATACTTTATTTGCTAGGCATTAAGACATCAGGTTTTTGAGAACATACATATGTAAAATAGTAGGTTCTTAGAAAAAGAACCTACTGTTTTGAAGAGTAAGGCTGTGATGTCCAAATGTGTATTCATACTGGTAGTTTTTAATTCCAGTTTTTGGTGGTGACATCTACTTTCCTTAGGGAGATTTGCTTTGGTAACTGCACACAATGAGTTGGAGGTTGGTAAAAGTAATATATTCACCAAGCAAATACTGAAAAATAGCTGATTTTGCTGTGAATTTGCTTCTGCTTTTTCCTACAGTAACTTTTATACCTGCACTCATTGCAGCTCCTTGAAAAGTAGTGCCAAAAACCTACCATGTAGAAGCTCTGCAGCAAATACCGTCTATTTCTGTACAGTGGCTCTAAGCCACTATGTTTACAAGATAATACACTGAAGTACATATACTATATATGTGCAGGGGCCATAGTGTAGGAATTTTTTTTGTTGGTCCATTTTTACAGAATGACTTTTTTAAAGGCTTTCTCTAACCAAGAGATTCCTTTACATGCATCTCTATGTTTGTGAGGTAACCTGACCAGAAATTACTGCCTCGCTCATTAAGCCAGTTATTTCATACTTCAGCTTTTAAGTGTCCAAATGCTCCACTTCACTGTGTTGCAGTCAGCTGTACCTCTCTGTCAATAGCTTAACTGAGTATTCAGAGTAGTTACCACCCACTTCTTACTGGTAGCTAACGTTGCAAGAAAAGTGAAAATTCATTTTCTGGATTTAATGTTCAACAGGGAAAGCGTGTGAATTAATTACAGAAGATCCCAGGATAGCAAACCAGTCTTTTAAAAAATAACATTGTTTTGAAGTACAATTAATAGTGGTGCTATTAATAAAATGCTAAACTTGCCCCTGTTCCATCCACAGTTGTTGCTATATATGACTATACAAAGGACAAAGATGATGAGCTGTCGTTTATGGAGGGTGCAATCATTTATGTGATAAAGAAGAACGATGACGGCTGGTATGAAGGAGTTTGCAATCGAGTAACTGGCTTGTTTCCTGGGAATTATGTTGAATCAATCATGCACTATGCTGATTAAAACCCTTTGCTTTTCAAAGTTGGGTCTTGTATTCAGTCATACCATGATTATTTACAAGGGGTAACTAAAAGCTAACAGAATTGTCTTAATATACTTTCAAAAAGAAAATGTGCCCATTTCTTCAGGCCATACTGTTTTAATGGTATGATTGAATGTCCATCTCTCTGAGTCTCTGAAGACATTATGTCTTACCTGATAGCAATTTGTAAAACAAGCAACTGTCTATAACTGGTTATACTTATTTACTTATGCATTGTTAATTTTATGACCAGCCTAAATATTCTGGGGAAGTAGGGTATAATATTTAATGAACCATGATTCAGATTGTGCCATTACATTTTTCAGTACAGCATGGTAACTAACACTACGTTAGACTAATATATTAAAATCTGGATGAAAAGTTTAATGTTAGTGCTGGTCATACTACTTTTTGTTTAGACTCTTTGCTCATTCTTGAACTGTATTTGTTTAAAGCATGCATACAAACTTATGTATTGAAATATACTTTTTTAAAAATCCAAGATGCTTCCAATTGTTGTAATATTTACCTGGAGTATTCTCACTAAAGTCTATTACAATGAGTTGTTTGGGTCTAAGGTGTCCATGTGAATCAAAAAATGGGTGGTCTTATGTATGTGTAATTTGTACCCAAGTTTTTTTAATGAGTAAATTTACATTATGACTTTTTCCATTCATAAATATATAAGTGAACCAAAGGTCTTGTCCATTACTTTGTTGGTTGGCTTGGCAAAGAAGTTTGGAATGCTAACGTAGCAAAATCACAGCTGTGTTATCCCAGGCAATGTACTAAAAGCAAATGTTTGTAATGTGACTTTATCACTGACAGAGGGCAAATAAATTAGATATGAAACCTGAATGACACATTTATACATACTCTTAAAAGTTCTTTTCTTCCAAAATTAATTTTACCAAGGATTCTTGATTGAATCTAGTTATCTAGATGCAGTAAACTGAGCACTGTCTGTAACTGACATTCCTCAGTGGACTTTGTGTCTGGCTGGTGTTGTGCCCAGCTGGGCAGAGATGGCAGGCTGTCCTCAAGATATGACAAAGGGGGAACAAACATGACAGGAGCTGTCTTAGCCACTGTGTTAAGGTATCCCAGGTAGAGATAGAGATGATGTACTTCCCTGTTCTACACATTCTGTGGCTTAACCTGAAAAGGAATGTGGTGGTACTGGATAATTACTGTAAGACAAATGTGTCTGGGACTTCAAAGCAGACTTCTAGGAGGGTACTGAATATACTTTTTAAATGAGTGAGTGAGTGATGGAAGGTGATGGAGTTGAAGCTTTGCCTGGCTGCTCAATCATTCATTTTCAGTGTGAGTTAGAAATACTGAGCTAACTTTTGCTGCTTTCAAAAGTTAACCTGCATAGGACTGTAGCATAGTAAAAAATCCTAATTTTTCATAATTGTAGCAATCTCAAATTCTGCATCTTGTTAACTGCTAGCAAGTAGCAACCAATAGCACACCAATAGCCCTGTATTTCATTATGAATTGGCAAACTTCTCAAGTCTTCAACCAACTGAAGTCTAGATACAGTCTTACAATGAACCAATTTATGTATGTACACTTCCAGGTACTTCTGTAGTTTAACAGTCAGAACAGCATTCAAACCATCTATTTTCACAGTTTACCAGACAGTAACGTGCATGCTCTGTTTATTAGTGTGAACAAGTGAAATTTGGAACCACTTTCATTCTCTTACACTGATTTATATTTATTCTCATTGTGGCCTTTGTGCATCAACATGTAAACATCTTCCCCAGCCCTCCACAATTAACAGCCTCAATTAACAACTGTACAGCACAATTTGATCTGCTCTGAATTGCATGGCTTCCCACAATAAAACACTACATTTAAACTTGGGTTTTTTTAAAAAAGAACTCCCCCCCCAAAAAAAAAAAAAAAAAGCTTTTTAAAAAAATAATTTTTGGTAGCCTGTGTTGGAAGCAAATAACTTTTGAACTAAATTTAGGCACAGTCTGGTAAGTAGCTGCCAGAAGGAGTGGGAGGAGTTCTCTCACTTGTCTCTTGTGAGCACCATCTCCGTCAGCTGGATCAGGGCTTCCCGCTCCGGGGACGGCCGCAGTTTCCTGATCTCTCTCGTGGCTTCATGGCAGTAGCGCTGGGCGAGGTAGGTTGTCTGCTGCACACCATCACTCTTAGGTACAAGATGTTAGATGTTAAAGGCAATGGATAAATGCTCAGCCCCCCCCTCCTGCCTTTTGCCCCTTCCAGTTACCAGGGGGAAGTAGTTTTAAGGTCAGTAAGTACCCTAAACAAGTATATTTTGAAGGGGAAAGGAAAACGATTCATTCTATGTTCATTGAATCCTACCTCTCTTCCCCAAAGCTTTAAAATAATAAAACTCATTCATGCTAAGCTTAAGTATACTTACAAAACATTAATGGTATTAATAACTTACTCTTCAGTAGGATTAGAAAGTAATGGGTTAACCCCTCTCCTCCTGCCCTAAATAGGGATGTAAAAAAAAAAACTACACTGAAAAAATAGGTATTATTTTTGCACAATTATTCAGTCTTTTCAGAACCAGTGTCAATTCATATTGACACAGGAGTGTGCACTGCAGTTACAAGACTGGTAATTGCATTGCTTACACCAGTTGTTGGATACAGCTACTCTTCAGCTGAAGGAACTGAGTTCGTGCGTGAGCTTTTTACTCTTTATGTTGATTTTATGCTATTGGAAGGAAAAAAGAAAGAAAGTTCTTCAGTACCTGCATTTCTGCTAAAACACTGTGCCAGTAAGGCAGCTGAAGAGTCCTCACTTTGTACTGTACATAGCATGCTACTTAGCATGTATTTGAAAAGGCAGTGAATGTCAGGCTGACTTCAGCAGGGATGGCATTTCAGGAATGAAACATTTGATACTGGTCCTACCTGCATCACATATTTCCGAGCGCGTTCAACATCTCCTGGCTTACTGAATCGTCTCATTATCATGGCATTCATTTCTGGAAACTAATCACAAAGGGAGAAGGTTTTGTACTGTTTATGAGTTGTTTTCCATGTAGCTGCCTGTCCTGCTATGGTCAAAAAGAAAACTTAGTACAGACTTCTCCTGTCACTGCTGTTGCTACAGGTATAGCTATAGGATAATACCTGCAACCTCCATAGGACTGTAGCATAGCAAAGCTCAAGCATTTAAAACTTCAACTGGCTGACTATTTTGGCAGCAAACATAAGCACCTGTCTGTCTGCCATGTTAAGCAGATAATCCAATGTGCTAATATCTGCTGTGGCTACTTGCAGGTGTATCCACATTATATTTCAGGTGTGGCGTCTGGTTCAGGCATGGTATTCCTGTGCCACAGCTGAAGGCTGGTGTTGGCACACCTAGAAGATGCACCTCTTCCCCCACATACAACAGAGAACCCAAGGGGCTTGTACCTATACTGCACAGTTCAATCTGTAAAACCCTTCATGACTGCTTAGGATTTTCATTGCTCTAGTATTTTATATACACAGGCTTTGCCTGGTGAAAGCTCAGGACAGACTTTTATTAGAGAAAAATGACAACTATAATCAATCCTGTAGAATTTGTGGTTAGTACTGCTCACTCAATTCCCTGCGAATCAGGTACATAACTGAAGTAATTTGTCTGAGAAAGTCACTGCATCACTTATCTAAACAGGAAGGCATTTTCCTCAGATGCTGCAGAAACAGAGGAACCTGGTGCTTAACAAATGTCACAATTCAAGGCAGCTACTCTGCAGAAGAACTATTTTTAAAACAAAGGTATTTGTTAACCTTGTCTGAAAGGGTTATAGTCAAACCAAGATTATTGCCATACACTTGCAATAAACTATGACCTGCGTTTCTTGCACACCTTTGGTCCTGAAACTGCAGATCTACAAACTTGTTAGGGAACAAACAAGTTGCATTCCTTATTATTGTGACATTTCCCTATTACTCATAGGTAGTCTTCTTGAAAGATACATTTAAAAGTTTATTGGTGACTCATACTCAGCTTTCTCCAGACTCTAGCTTTCTTCCCATGTAATGACAATTTAATTGCAATGTTCATATAATCAGTTTCCATATTATTCTTATTTACAATGTTATAGGATCCATATGCTTTCACTTTTAATATTTAAGCACTAAAGAATATAAAAATCCCCAAACCTGCAATACAAAACTGTTAGTAGCAGTTCTCCAGATTTAATGGGCAGTATATAAGCAAGACAGGAATACTTAAAAACATTATTATAAAAAAGTTTATAATAAAATAACCCGTAGTCTTCCACCATACTAGTTTAAGAGTAGATTTAGACTTAGCATATACTCGTGTATTTCTTTAAAAATAATTGGTTGGGGTTTTTCTTGTTTGTTTTTTTTAACTGAGTGAACTAACTAATACTGAATAAATGGATCTAACTAAACAAAAGAAAAGGCTGTCACTCAAGCTTCAGAGCACAGTCAGAACTAACCTATGTTTGCTCAGAAGACAACATGAGGATTTCCAGATGTATTAAAAGACAGGCAAAAAGAGTCTATGTCTGAGAATTACATTTTGGACTAACTCAGGAGTTTTTATTTTCAGATACAAGCGGCAGTACAGTTAATTAGCTGCTGAAGGTCCTAATTTTTTACCACTAATACTTTATATCATTTAAGTCTGTAAGCTGTTCTTCCAGATTCTTGAAAAAAACAATAAATGTTCTGCAATGAAGCCTTCCAGGTAATGCAAGACTTTGCAAGATGGTCAAGTGATCTTTCAATGTAAAAATGTACACTTCCCTGCTATGAAAGATATAAATGAGGAAAAGTGTTTAAAAGTGACCTATACAGAACAAGTAATATTTTTAAAATAAAACTGAAATTTTCTTTTCTTGTATTTCCATAATGATGAACTTAACTAATTTATCTTATAAAGCTAATTAAGTGATAAATGAAGTTGAAAGTCAGCGACAGCCAACCCAAACACAGTTTTCATTTTAAACATTTGAATATTCAACACCCATAAGATAATCAATCACCCATTCTCTGCCAAAATCAAACGTCCTTGTTTCTCTCTACAAGCAACTTCAACACACAAATAATTTCACAACTGCATTTGCTTTCTGTACCTGTCTCACTATTCTTTAGACAATTCCAGTTGCTAATGACTAACAAGATCCTGCTGCTTATCAACAAATTCTGAAATTATTCAAGAACACATCTCCCCCAGATGAGTCTGTGGGGAGGAGCTGAGAACATGGAGGAGGTTGTTCTCATCATGTCCTCAGCATTCATCTGCATTCTGAAGTGGCTGATGCTCTTTGCTTCCTGTCTCTTTTGGACATTTCCTTGTAATTGCCCAAAGGACGAGGAAACAAATGCTCCACCTCTCCCCACTCCAGGCTCTTTATAATAGAGGGGGAAGTAAATGTCATGAAGTTGTTTGGGTTTTTTTTTTGTTGTTGTTGTTTTTAATGAATGGAGTTAAATCCAGTTGGGGCTGGTCACAAGTGGGGTTCCTCAAGGATCAGTATTGGGCCCACTTCTGTTTAACATCTTTATCAGCAATCCTGATGAAGAGATAAAATGCACCCTCAGAAAGTTTGCAGACAACAGCTGCCTGAGGGGAAGGAGGGTCTGCAGAGAGACTTGGACAGACTAGATTGATAGGCTGAAGTCAATGAGTATAAGCTGCAACAAATCCAAGTGCCAGGTCCTGCTCTTGAGCCACAACAACCCCATGGAGTACTACAGGCTTGGGGAAGAAAGTTGTCCAGAAGAAAGGGACCTGGAGGTTCTTATTGATAGGCAGCTGAGTATGAGCCAGCAGGGTACCCAGGTGGCCAAGAAGGCCAGTGGCATCCTGGCCTGTATTAGAAATAGTGTGGCCAACAGGACCAGGAGGTGACTGTCCCTCTGTACTGGGCATTGGTGAGGCCACACCTCAAGCACTCAGTCCAGTTTTTGGCACCTCAGTACAAGAAGGACATCAAGGTGCTGGAGCGTGTCCAAAGAAGGGCAACTAGGCTGGTGAACAAGTCTTATGAGAAGTGGCTGAGGGAACTGGGGCTCTTCAGTCTGAAGAAAAGGAGGCTGAGGGAGACCTCATCGCCCTCTAGAACTGCCTGAAAGGAGGTTGTAAAGAGGTAGGTGCTGGTCTCTTCTCACAAGACACCAGTGACAGAACAAGAGGGAATGACCTCAAGCTGCACCCAGGGAGGTTTAGACTAGACATTAGGATACACAGATACTGAAATTCTTGGCCCCAGATGGATACAAAGCCCAGAACTTGGCAAAAAGCTTATCCACCTAGTCAAGCCTGGGGAGAACAAGATGTCTCAGCAAAGAACACAAGCAAGAACCTACTTTGCAAAGGTTAAGCCTTGTGCTGCTTTTAAGATTAGGGCATAATGGTAAGAAGACTTGTGTGGGAAGGTGCTTCTCAGTCTGAAAGAATGTGTGTGTACACAATAAATCCAGCTGATCTTGAAGACACCAAATTTTCACAAGTACCCAGGCCATGCTCATCACTCACACACTGCACTTGGTGTGTTTGAGCCAGAGCTCCATGTGCTGTGAAGAGCTGAGTGCACTTCTGTGTGTGCAATTCCTGTGTGTGCACTTCCTGCTTTGGGGAAGTGGATTCCTGTTGACTTACCTGTCGACAAGCAAACAAGACCGGGCCTGTAGCTAAGCCCAGCTTGAGATCTGCTGCTGTTGGTTTCCCCAGATGATCAGCACATGATGTAAAATCCAGCACATCATCTATTAGCTGGAAAGAGATAAACATACTGATTATTTTAGGACTTTTTTCCTAAACAAGATCCAGATAGAGACTAATAATTGTTAAGATGAGGTTTACAGAGGGGATTAAGACAGCCCACTTTGATTTCTAAGGCAGTGGGAAAAGTTTAAATTTTAGATTCCCTTTAGTTCAACAAAAGCACTACCTGAAAAGCTATGCCAACGTTTTTTCCATACTGGTATGCAATCTCATGAACTTTGGGATCAGGGCAGCCTAGAATTGAAACCTGAAGAGGAAAAAAACAACAAGTAAATAGAAAGCTTTAGTGAGCATCCCCTTTTAGTCTCTAACCATAGGTGTGACATTGCAAGCACAGACAGCAGAGATCTGGGAAAGGGAGAAAAGCTGACTCAGGAGCACATTCTTGCTTATCTCTGTTCACAAATGCACACAAATAGCCAAGCTGATTAGAAAACAAGGCTGAACAGCAGTGCAGTATTAAAAATATATTCAAATCTGGAAAGAGATTAACTTTATTAAATATTTATAAGACTTAGAAATTATAATGCAAGGATAAAGGGAGAAATGTGGATGCACTGCCCATGCAGGCTAGTAGATAGATGTACCAGCGACAAGGGAATTAAATTTATTACATACATAAATCAGCCAGGAGATAATTGGAGGTCAGAGAACAGATAAATGGACATTACACACCTCATAAAAGAGCCACAAAACTGAGTATGTTGCACCCAGCATAGGAGGGTCAGTTGAGATAAGGAAGATTATTTTTAAGGGCGATGTTAACTATTAGTGAATTGCTCAGGAAGATGAGCTTGCAGACAGAAGTATCAAGGGATAATTAGTGGCAAAGAAAAGACAGTGAATGAAGAAATACACCAAGCTAGGCAGAAGTATCACTAAACTGAAATAAACAAATACTTTTTGAGTACAGATAAAGGAATTGACTACTTGAGAGACAGAGATTTTGCTGAAGTAACTCCACAAAGCTAAAATATAGGAAACAAACTAAGATTTGAGAATTACTATTTTGCCTCAAAGTAAGGGCACTTATGCTTCTGCATTTATGTATTGATTATACATTTATGTATTGATTATACACTTTGCAAAATGAGGTTGGTTATATTTAAATACTCATATTTATTTCAGCCTTCAATAAGACACTTAGGAACAGGAGGCAAAAATCCATCCTGGTTTACTCCAGACATTCCACATCTACTGTGACTAACAGAAGGAGTAAAGATACATTTCACTTAATATAAGACTAAAAATATGTTAGGAAAACCACACAACATATAAAAATATGAGTGTACATATATATTTATACACACATAAAAATTACTCTTTAATACTATGAAACATAGGATCATTTAAATAACAAGCAAACAAAAACCAATCCCAAACTAAAAGTGAGTCCAGTAGTAGCTTTGAAGAGGAACATGAAGATGGAAATAAGAAACATCATATCCTAATAAATGTGATGCAACTCACTCAAGATTAGACACTATTTCATGCACCCGTGCATTTTGCAACTGAGCAGCAGAATACTTCCCAGTCATAACCTGCATTCATGGATAAGAGTTAAAACCCAGAGGAATCTCGATGCCTGAGGCATTAACAACATCTTACATTTCCCAATTGTATTTAAAAGAGAAGGACAGTACAGCAGGAAAATAATCTACATAGAGATTGCTAGGAACTATCCAACTAGAACATTTTGCCCTTTTATCCTCCTTTTGATGTGCATGTAAAAACAAAAGCGAGTTACAGAATGTAACACAAAATGGATAAACTCAAAACTAATTCTTGCATCATTGCAAGAGAAGAGCTTCATCTCTCCTATACAGGTTATGAATATTTCTGAAGACAAAAAACCAAAAATAATAAAAAAATAAATCCAGGGGATCAACCTGCCTGTCACACCCCAAGTGAGTAACTCTGACCACATAATAAACCTGCAACATTACTGGGTCTTGTCAACCAGGGAGTTCCTTCAGGAGCCAGTTTCTCAAATGGCAGTTGTGGATTATTGCCCCCACCTGGACACTCGCTGGGATGCAGGCAAGCAGCCTGGTCCCAGCCAGTCTGTCTGTCACTCGGAGTGAAGTTTCAATGAAGCCATACTGGAACAGCATGCATGTACAAATAATGCCAATATAATTATGTATGTTTAAATGATAAAGCTCACCCTTTGAAAACATCTTATAACTCTCCTGATATGACTGGTTGATTACAAATTTAATCTTGCAAGAACTCAGACTTGTCCTCCGCTAAATCCTCATGAAAAATCCATCCTAATACCAAGTGGAACAAATTTTCAGAAAGGTTCTTTGAATTCAGTACAGCAGTTCAATCTGCTTGGCATTATCCCAAACATTTTTTGGAATGAAAAATAGCTTCTGGTATTTTATGCTATGTGAGAGACTATAAAACAATCTTGCCTATTTACTGAATTTCACATCCATAAAATTTTCCACCATCAGCTTTGGGTAGATGGTCTGTTATTCACCACATGAGAATATGGCAGCTGGAGCTGAAAGCACTTGCACATCTATACCACTGCCCTGTTGGTCGGAGCGGAAAACCTGCTGCTGGGCAGGGATATGCTTGTATAAATAGGACAAGGGATGTTTCCTCTCACATTCCTAGATTTGTGGACACCATGGAAAGGAAAAGCCTCTAAAGTATTTCCCATTTCTGGCCTTTTTCCTCTATGCTCATCTCCTGAAGCAGTCAGGATCCTGCCTTCTCATTTGTGGCTCATACACTGCTGTCTTTCCAGACAGAACCACTGTTCCTCTTTCCAGTGGAATCACAGGATAGTTTAGGTTGGAAGGGAACTTGGAAAGTTCATTTGTCCAGTCATCTGCTCAAAGCAGAGCTTCACAGTTAGATCAGGTTGCTTCGGGCTGTGTCCAGTTGAGTTCTGAGCATCTCAAAGGATAAAGATTCCACGTCCTGTCTGGGCAAGCTGTTCCAGCATTTGACCAACCTCTTGCAGAATTTCTTCCTAATAGCTAATTGTATTTTTCCATGATCTAACCTGTCCCTTCATTGTGCATCTCTCCATCCTCTCTATTACATAGCTGGAGACAGCAAGAGAATTCTCCCTTAGCCTTTTCTGCTCCAGACTAAAACCAGCTCATCATGGTGGCCCTTCAATGCACAATGTGAATGTCTGTCTTGTATGAGGGAGCCCAGCCTTGAGGTCTCACATGTGCTGAACAGGGGAAACCAGTCACTTCCCTTGATGTGCTGGCTATGCTGGTAGTGATGCAGGCCAGGATGTTCTGTCCTACCCTGCTGCAGGGCACCCTGCTGACTTTTCCTCCAGGCTCTTCAAAACTTTCTGGTAACTAGTCTTGGGAAGGGGGTTATGAAAACCTACCTGGGAGAGGAAGATGTCTACCCAGCAGAAGCCCCCATGCACACCAGGTAACTATGTTGTCCCAAGTCTGCACTTTCATGCATTTGAGATTTTCTCAAGTAATTAACATTTTTATATGTAAACCAAGTACTTGATTATGAAAAATTGTACATTTACAAAAATGAAGGTTATCTGCCTCAGTACCTGTGATATATTTATGATAATCTTTTTCATAGGAAACATTATGAAGAAGAAATACCCCCAAAGGAGTTACTGTATTTTAAATAACAAGCAAGGAAATTTCCTGGCTGGCCATCAAGTCTGATGCTACTGATACTATTACCCTACATCTGTCCTTGGACCTTGTTTAGTCTGCACATTTAGTTGGACTGGGAGGATCATTTTGCTGGTGGGGGTCAGAGCTCTTACTTTTCTAGACACTGGTTCCACACACTGGTAAGTTTTTCTGATGGAGCCCTGTGCACACACCATGAAGTAGTTAAAGCAGGAGCTCACAGGTAGGTCCAGAGATGCAGCCTATTCCTTTTCTTCACTCCCTAAGGCAGACCTTCCATACACAGCCTTGCCTTACACAACAGGGCTGCATGTTTTCTAATGGAGAAATCAAGAATGTCTAGTGCAACTTTACACTTATCTCAAAACAAACAACTTAATTCCTCTTCTGAAAGCATTTGAGGGTTAGAAATGCATATTACAGCAGGATAAAAAAAGAAAGAAAGAGAACCTGCTTGGCTTATTTTTACCATCTCCAGCTTGTGTGATGACTAACAGAAATTCCACTTCAGCTTTATTGTTTCTGAATTCTTGAACCAAAGTGACCTCCTATGTTTCTCTGAAAAATGCCTTTCAGTAACTAAGGCTTCAGAGACCGTCTGAGCCATCTGCCACCGTTTCCTTTTGCAATTACTTTAACAGCAACTTATGGAGAACTATTGTAGAAATAAACTAGAGGCTGGGATGGCTCTAACATCATGAACAGACTGTTCTGTCCGTAAATAAATTTTTTTGCTGACTTAAAGGACTTCTGACTCAAATGCAGTAATGGTCTGGTGATGCAGGAGGTATCTAACCCAGTGACCAGACCAGCATTGAGAGACTATTATCTTGTTTAGACATTTTTCCAGGAATACCCTAATCTTCCATTTCTAAAGCATGACACCGTAGAATTCTAAGATGCCACCTGAACTTGTCTGACATCTTCTTTCTAGTTAATACTTTTATCTTATTTATGCACAGACACTGTTTTTTTTTTCCTGTCATTAACAGGAATTGAATTACTTCTAATGACACACTAGCCTGGTTCTAACTGATGTTCTTAAAACCAACACTCTCTCTCTCCATAGCTTTGTCTCTGACAACAAGATGTGAACATGTCTGATTCCCCACCTGAATTTCCTTTCAAGCTAGAACTGATGATTGTTTGTAATTTTTGCCACAAAAAACAGAACTCCCTTCTGATTCCAACCTTTTCCTTAGTAACCAATACTATCAAAACAAACAAACCAAAACCCAAAACTAACACCCCCTCAAAAAAACCCCCAAATTTCAAAAGCAAAAAATCCCTTTTCAATAGAATTGTCCTAATCCCTGCAGAAAGAAACCGAGGGGGACATGTCTCTATACAGGTCTTTGCCATAAAGACAGACACCTCTCTTGTATTTTCTTTAAAACACAAATTTTACTGCAAGTAAGATTCCAACAACTCAGCAATAGAAAACTCCAGGCAACCACTACAAGAAAAGCAGCCAAACAGCCCCTTAACCAGCATCACAGCCACAATCTGGAGCAAACAGCTTAAATCTTTGACTCTTGTGAGTTATGAAAAGGCAAAAACTCAAAATGGCAGCTTTGTAAGGAGAATCCACCCAGTGGGAAGCTGATTTTTTTTCTCTATCTGTGAAGGTTCTTTTAGGAAGATTACCAAAGCGAATATAAAAATCTGTATGTTTTTCTTGGGGTAGCAGAATAATGTGATGCTCCTTATTAGCCCTATTGCCCACTTGAAGACTTGAAAAGGAAAATTGTTGCCAGGGTCATAGTGCCATTAATTTGAGCAATAAAGAAGACTTAATTTCTCTCGTCCAACTACAACAAAGGATATTCTCCCTCTGCACAAAATCTGTGTCTCTCACTCAATGTGATCATTTTGATTTAAGCAATTTTTCAACTGCTGTCTATTGCACAAATGTACCAGTTCTCTGAGAACAAAGAAGGATGAAAACAGTAGCACAGATTTTAACCTAATTCTCTTAGAACTCTCTCTTGCTACAGCATACACCAGTATCCTGCCTTTAATAAAAAAAAAAAATAAATAAAATAAATTAGAACTCATAGAATCACAGAATGGTTAGAGTTGGAAGGGACCTTAAAGATCATCAAGTTCCAACCTCCCTGCTATGAGCAGGGACACCTCCCACTAGACCAGGCTGCACGAAGCCTCATCCAACTTGGCCTTGAACACCTCCAGGGAGGGGGCTTCCACAACCTCCCTGGGCAACCTATTCTAGTGCCTTACTACCCTCATGGTGAAGAATTTCTTCCTAATATCTAACCTAAATCTCCCCTCTTTCAGTTTAAAACCATTAATCCTTTTTGGGGTGACATTACTGCCCACTTTCTCCATTTTCCATGCTAAAAATAAACATGTTTTTTGAGTATCATCTTGAAACATCTTTCTGTAATGAAGTAGCAGAACTGAGCAACACATAGAGTTGGGTATGGCAACTGATCATTAAAAATCCCCAACAAATGAATCAAGAATTACATGCTGCTGTTCTTTTACAATGTAGAGTACACACAATTAGTGGTTTCCACCCAGTGTTAGCATTTAAGGTCCCACTCGGCACCGATGAGTGGGACCAGGTGTCAGAGAAGCATGAGAATCAAATTACAGGCTCAAGAATTATCAACCAAAATTAAAAACAGTTGCAAAGCCGCAGAATTTCATAAATTAAAGGCTGCCACTGTGAACCTTATTTTGATTCAAGTAAGGATAACAATAAATCTGTATATGAGTAGAAAACTAAAGAAAAAAATAAAACCAATATTGGAGGCTACAGAGCTGAACCGTGATAAAATGCACCATCTCAAACCCATTACATTTTGGGAGAACTTCACTTAAAAGGGTTTGCTTAGGAAGGTCTCCAGAGAAAAGAGCAATTAACTAGGAGTTTGGCTGTGAGGCTTTCAGGGTGGTATGTTAACATTAGAAGAGACAGACGTACATACTGCTTTACAACTGTTTGCTATAAGACTCGCAGTCTTCTTAAAGGTCTTCTCGAGGTAGTGAGCAAATCTCTCGTTCTCGTTTTCCTTGGAACCCAACTGGAGGAATTCACCTAAAAAGTTGCAGAAATGGTAGTTTTTATTTGTGGGTTTACTGCTTAGGCAAGCATGTTTGAAGATAAAACCAGAAAATGATCTTACCACGCACCAGGTCTTCAATCACCTGCGTTAGAACGGAGATGATAGTGGTATTTCCAATTCGTGCTAAAGCTACGGAAGCAGCTGAGAGGATGAAGTCACCAGCTAGAACAGCCTAAGAATTAAAAAAATAAATAGATTTTTAAAGTCTTTTCCTGTAAGTGTTAGTACAGAGAATACAATTTCCTCTGGCAGATCTACTCACATCATTTTCCTCCATATAGCATGCATATCTCATCGTAACAGAGACACGACAGAACCATTCTTCACAGAATCATAGAATGCGTTGGATTGGAAGGGACCTATAAAGCTCATCTAGTCCAACCCCCTCTACAATAAGCAGGGACATTTTTTAAGCCCTGTCTTACAGTGCTGTTTATATTTTTTTATATAAGCACTGTCCCTGTAGGCAATATCTGAATATGTGTTTGCCTGTGAAGTTTTTTTTAAACATTCCTTCTCTGATTGACCATTCTGTTGTGACTGTTACGTCATGTTACCTCTGACCTGCTGCAAGTACTGAGGTGCCAGCAGTGTAATTCTTTCCTTGCATTTTCTGACTAAGACCTTCCTTTTCATGGTCCATGAAAAAACACCTCTCAAAAAATCCAAACAATTTTCATGCGGACTGAAAACCTTTTTGTGTTCATTACTGATTCAGAATAAGATACAGTGACCTGGATGAGATACACGTTCAAAGTTTTCCAACAGCACTGCACAGAATGGCATAGAGAATTAAACTCAGTAAGGATCACACAACAATCAAACATTATCTAATATTTCCAACAGTTTAGAAAAGAAACACGTGTGCCATTACTGCTTAGGGACAGTAATGTGACAAAAACCCTAGGTATTCGTGCTCTGCTGAAACTCAATGGTAAATATTCCACGTAATAGCAAACTCACCTTCCTCTCTCCCCAGATTTGATTGACTGTCATTTTTCCTCTGCGAGAATTTGCATCATCAATGACATCATCATGAACCAGGCTAGCTGTGTGGATCATCTCAGCAATTATGGCCACAGAGCGCTGGCTTGCTTGCACCTCCCTAAAATAAAAAACAAGAACAGTCAAATAATTAAATCGATTACATGTGCTGCAATAAACTATAAGAAATCTCTACCAAAACCCAAATAAACAATGTTTCTCTGAAAACAGCTGTTGCAGCTTTTCCACAGTCTGAATCCCAGCTTTCAAACCTGGAATTAGGAAGACAAGAGAGAGCAAGATCATGTTAGTACAGTAAGTGCAATAGGACATTTCCATCCTTATTAGGCCTGTTTCTGCCTTGCTGCATTCACAGTACTGCAAAACTCCTCGGTTATTGACACTAATCCTTCTACAGACAGGCTGCAAATAGCACAGCATCAAGGATAATTAGTTCCAAGGAGATGGAAATCTGGAAAACAGCTCAGGAAAGAATATAAGGTAGCTTTGTAGATGAGTTGTACACTTTCCTTATCTCTGTGTTGCTCTGCCTAAAAGCTGCAGCATCACAAACTCTCCAAAACTGGCAAACTCTACTAACCAGCAAGCTGGAGAGATTAGCAGGCACAGAAACCTGTATTAGACATCTGAAAGACAAAACTCCTTTATGTTATCTGATTACTTTAAGACCTCAGAGGTTCTTCAAAAGCCTGAGGAATTTCCTGGAATTACACTGCAATCATTTAAAGACTGTTAACACTAATACTTAACAGAAATACAGACTTGGGAATATCTAACAATCTCAGTAGGTCACACCTACTTTATTTTTTAAACTACATGGAAAGAAAGTAATAGAAGAAACATAAGAGCAATTATCTACGGAACAAGGTTGGCAAAATGAACATAGAAGAGGCAATTTAGTTCACACAGAGGACCATCTATCCTAATATCCAACTACCACTCCTTGTCCTCGTATCTATCTTTTTCTACCAGTTCTCACCATGGGTAGCATCCAGGATCCCAGAAATGGCTACCCCTGGCAGCCTTGAGCTGTAAAAAGCCCACCCGGATGTGAAAAAAACCACATTAACCCCACAAAATGGAAAAACCCAAAACGATAATTAGAAAAGAAAACAAAAAAACCCCCAAACAAACAAAAAAAGAAAAACAAAACAAAAACAAGAAGAGAGAAGAATACTTCTGATATATAGATACTGTACTTCGGTATACAAAGCAAATCACACTGTTTTCCAGCAGAATATAAAAAGAACTGAGAAGAACAGAAAATCTTAATTTCAGCTCAGCTGAAGGGAATTTAAAACCTTCTTGCATTGCCTACGTATATTAAAATCCCGTGATTAACCGCAAAATGAAAGAACATCTTGCAGTCTGCTGACATAACACTGTGTTCTGACACCTACCTCTGCAGAACTCTGCATTGCTGTCAGTGGGAGTTCTACATCCTGAACAATAGCAGGATGTGTGGCTCATAGGCTGAATGAGAATATGGCTTGAAAGCAACAGAAAATAAGAGCTGGAAGCCTTCACAGTTGTTTGAAGGTAAGTTTTACTGAGAAGTAGTTATTTAGTCAAATGCTAGCTCAGTGTAAGTAGTTTTCCAAAATAAACTATTGTTACCAAGTAGGAGAACTTACCTTCAAAAACCCGTAAAGGTCTCCAGGCTCTTTCATGCACTGGTCTCCTTTTGGGGACTCCCTTTTTCATTAATTATGTCAGCAGACTGGACTTCCTGCTGGGAAGTAGCAGTAAATGGCAACACTCACCGACAAACCAAAATCTTTCAGTATTATGAACACAGCACAGGGACAGACATTTCAAAAGCAGGTTTTGAAAAGTTCTGCATTATAGTGCATTTCATCTCTGACAATGACTAAAAATGGCATAGGAATGCTCATGGTGCATATGTCTGGTTCCCAGAATGTTGCATCAAATGTGATAATTTAACTTCAAGGGTGGTTGTTTTTTTTCAAACTACTATTTCTTCAAGGTCTCAAGCAAGGTTCTTTCCATCACTGGCAAAAAGATTTCGTCACAGTTTCCTACAAACACCTTGTGAGAGTAATTCTCTATCAGAGCATGCCTATTTTAGGGAAAACACACAAGAAACAGGATCATCCTCATTCCCTGCCATTTTTCATTCTGCTTCGCCTGAAAAACAAAAGCAAAGAGTAGCAGTAATTGAAGTCAATAAATACGTGGGTCCCCACAAATCCAGTAAGTGCAAAGATGCCATTTTTAAGTCATTCTCAAAGTAAAGGCACCCCAAAATTACATAAATTTACACAAAATTTTTATACAAATGGAAGTTTATAATTTTGGACATGCATTATATTAAATTTTATCTCCTTGATCATCTTCTGTTTTTCAGGACAATCCCCTGCTTGATTCTGTGTTAAGATTTTATAGACATACAGTACCCTGAGGTCTTTTCCACTACAGAACTTGTTATATGTCCCCTGAACAAGCCCAAGGCAGATCTAGCTGGTTAAAAAGTAACACATTGTGCCTCCCAATATGTCTCTTAAAAAAATAAAAATAATAAAAAAGAGAGGCTGGGAAACTCAGAACAACACAAACTTTGCAACCAAGAGTTTTGCAACCTGTTTGTCTGAATGTAAAATACAGCCAGTTTAAAGACAGGAAACATGCAAAAGAACTTGCAAAATCTCAGTGTTGTGACCACACTCCTCAAAGTACTTTTCTGCTGTTAAGTCCCTGTGGCTGAAAGAAACCAACATTCCAGTAACAGCCTGTGACACAGAAGGGCACTGCAAACTCAGGGAAGCATACAGAATAGAGGTTAGGAGGAGTGAAAAAAGAGACAACTAAGGTTACTGGCAGGTCCTCATATCTTCAGGAAATATAATGACCTAGCTAAACTTGATAGAGTAACATTTCTCACACTATTCTGATGGATTTAGTTCCCTTTTTTCCCTAAATCTTCTGTGGTCATTATTTTCTCTATTGGGATGTCTCTGTACTTCTTTGGCCTTCTCTCGTCTTTTTGGTCACAGAAGAAGGAATAAAAAAAATTATTTGCAAACCCCTCTGGAAAACACACTCTAAACAGAAACATGATGTCCAATCAGGCTAAGTGATAATTCTGTGAAGTTCTGCACACAGGTACCTGAAGAAATGCCTGAGGACGTGTGAAATTGAGGGTTTGAATGACTTCAGGTTAAACTCTTCACAATTCTCACTCTAGCATAAAGCTAAGTTGCTATAAAAAAGGACCCAGGGATTCATGGTTGGAGTTCTGACACTCAGACCTTCCAGAGGAAAAAAAACAACATACCAGCACAGAACAACCTGAATGCTTCCAACACTTATCTTTTGAATAACAGTTCAGATTCTTTATACAACTGTAATTCATATTATGACTGCAATAAAGTGACCTCACTCTAGAAAGTCAGTTAACCTGCTGAGGGCATTTTAAATCCCTAGCCTTCCTCAAATCTTACATAAATGATCCTGTTACTTAACCTGTAAGCAGAGCTACCTGCGTGTTCCCCACTATTCATTTGAGAAGTCTCAGCTCTTCTAGTGGGGCCCTTTGAAGACAGAGATCTCCATGGACTGCCTTGTAAGATCAAGCCCTGTAACCTTACAAAATTGTGTCCTGATATTCTAACTGTCAAACACAGAAGAGTATTATCTTTTCTACTAGTATTGCACAAAAAAATACAAAGAAAAAAACCAAACAACAAATGAAAGATCAGGCAAAAGTATGCTGGGTCAACACAGGACGTTGAGAATGGCAGCAGGATGAAGCAGAAACTCAACATTAGTAACATAAATCCCAGAGGCAGAATAACAAAAATGCTAGGGATGAGCAGCACAGGATATTGGCTCAGCTCACAAGTCTACAGATGTTGTGGCCAGTATCTTTGATGATATGTGTGGGAACCAAAGCTTCAACAAAGAAAAATAAGTCTGGGAGAATTATTATTAACCAGCACAAAGAGTGATAAAAATGTCTTATGGAAAATGACAATTTGAAAGAGGAAAAACATCTTAAAAATATCAGAAGCAGAATGGAAAGCAAGTATTTTTTTCTCCTTCAGGTCTATAGCAGAGTAGCAGAGTTATAAATCTGCAGCGTTTCCTTCTCTACATATACAACTTTCCTTCCAAACTGTAAAAAGTTGGAAGAAGAGTTTGTCACCTGGAAGCAATGCTGCTTTAAGAAGCAACAATAATGGAACCAGTATCAGAGAGAACTGGAAGTGTATGTATATACAAAGCAAGTGTAACACAGCCTGCTTCAAGAAATTTAAAAGCAAAAGAGAAGAAAATGCCCATAAAACCTCATCAGCTCACAGTAAGTGGGCATCCACAACATGAAAGTATATTCTTTTGGCATGGCCTAGCCAACCCTCAATAGATGCTGGTCATCACGCATGAACCAAAAAGCACTACCCTGAGGACCTGTATAACATACGTGAATTATAGTTACAACCACAGGCTTACAGAACAGTAGCATGAGGCAAAGAAAAGGAAGGAAAATACTCTGGGATTTAATTGTCTTCCTTTGCTGAAACATTTCTGTTCTGCCTATTTAGAATTTCATTCTAAAAACAACATGACACGAGAGTGATTCAGTCTGTCCTTATACATGGAACATTCAGATTAATGAGAAAGCTTCTAAACATCAAACCTACTTTGGAGGTGGCCAAGAAAAACTGCAACAGATGTACCAACACTGCCAAATGGCATGGGCATCTATAAATCAGAGTGCTTATGGTAAGGGGTGGCTACTGGGAAGCAAACACTTGCCTCAGGCATGTGTGGCACTTGAATTCTGAGATCACACTATCACTGGCATAGGGCAGGTCTCAAAACTGGTCCTGACAGTTTCAAGACAGCATAACACATGGACAAGAACATGTCCATGACCATATACATATGCCAAAAGACAGGAAATATGCTTTGAGCATATAAAGGCAAAACAAGTTCTTTCAACAACTGCTTCTTGTCTTTGAGTCACTTCAGTTCACCTCCTACACTATAAGACCTCAACTCTAGCCTTCTTGGTTTTGTATGTAGACCATTTAATTTCCTTCATAAGCATCTCATGCTACACACTAGAATGAGATTAAACTATTTTTTCCATCACTTTGACTAGAAAGGTGCTTCAAAAAGTCACTGCCCCAGCTGTTACATCTCCTTTTAAGTTTCCACTCTCTTAGCGACATCATCCTTTGACTTAAATAGCTCTTTCACCCCTGTTGCTCATAGATTTGTAGACCATAAGTCCTTCACTCTCCCTGATTATCTTTGCAGTCCATCCCTGAAGCGTTTAATTTTTTTTTTAACATGAGGTTCAGACAATGCTGATGATTTCACAAAGTGTGACATACAAGGGTATCAGCACTCCTGTAGCTGAACTGGATATGCTGTGGTTGATGCATGTTAGGACTACCCTAAGGTATTTTACACAGGAGATGGGTGCAAACCACACTGGGTTATACCCTAATGGGACAATCGTGAGCCCCCAGACTCAAGCAGAAATGTTTGGTTTATTGTGCTTCCTTCCACCAAGGATGTTGTCAGAAAGTGCCACCATCACACTGCTTTTTTTCCTGTCAAAATCACTCCTGAAAATACTAAGCCAATCAGTGCTGTGACAAAGGACATCCTTGAGGAATTTTACAACCAATATTTTTCTTTCTGCTACCTCTAGGACAATGACAAGGAGCAGTATTGAACAGACAACAGAATCAAGCCTGGAGTGCAGTTCATTAATCCTGGACAGTTTTCCTAAAAGAAGAGGAACTGGCACACACAAGACAGAATGCTGCCAACTAGGGTTTTTTTTCTCCTTCAGAATTATGGTAGGAATGTGCAGAGATGTCTTTGCAATCAGCCCAAGTAAGGAGTGACAGACAGTACAGGGCAAGCTTGGTGTTGCTCAGTTAAAACTGTCTTCAAAAGACAAGTACTTGGTAAACACGAAAATTACACCAACTCTAAACTTAGAATCTTAATATTAAAGTTTAGAAACTTGCTCCTAGTGAGAAACAAAACATAATCTCTGACTGATTTGAATGTCTCACTGCTTTGAATAGAACCATACCAGCTGCTTAATGGCTTTTCTACATAATTACACAAAAAAAGCTATGAAAGTTTCTTCGGACAGCAAAGTTCTTACCTGTGAGAAGAGTTTAATAGCTACAGCAGCAGTTACAAATGAAAAATACTTCAAGTTCATGTAGATTCCAGCAGTATGACAGCTTCTAATAAAGCATTTAAATTGTAACTAAGTGTAAAATTGACTAAAAGCCTTACAAGTATCAGATTTTAACAACATTATTTATCCATCACCAGTTACAACTGCAGTATAGTCCACAATTTTACACATGGAAGTATGTAATAAACACGACGGCTCCTTTTGCATTGCTAACTACAAAATCTCAGCTTCACGATGGAACTCAGAGTCAGGTTTTACTGAGGAGAATTTTATTTTCATAAAGTTACTAGATGTGTTTTTTGGGAAGATAGGAATTATAAATTTCAAGTACGATACATGTCCATATATCCAAAAATGACAGACCCACCTGGAATTACTATGGTGAATGTTGCAAGCCCTTGCCATTAGCACCACAATCATTGGTCGAAAGGCCTTTCCTTTCCCATCAAAGTAATAATCACACATTTCCTTCAGTTCTGCGGTAGACACAAGTAATTCCTATAAAAAGGAAGACCATTTAAGCATAAAAGTCACAAAGCTGATTGGTTTAGTGTAAGCAAAACAGTATGCTGGTCATAAATATGAAAAATATGCTTTCAGTAACTATCCTCCAAAGCAACGGTTGCTACTGAAATCAGAATAATCACAACATCCCCAAATAGTCACCAAAATCCCTCACCTTCTTAATATCTTCATAGAGATTCTTCAAGTCTTTTCTACCAAGTTGAAAAGGGTCTTGGTATTTTTCATCACTAACTGTCTTACTGCAGCTGCACAAGTGGGATGTGCTTGTATGATGAAACCTGGTGACAGTGTTTTCCAAAAGAGTAACATTGTTAAAAGCAAACCTTCCCTGATTCACCAAACAGAAACATTCCAAGCATTTCCTCCCCAACCCCCTCCTTCTTCTTCCCCTCCCCAAAAATGTAACCAAATGCCTAAAATATAAACATCAAAGGCATCAAAGGCATCAAAATTCCAGAGGAGGGCCATAAAGATGATCAGAGGGCTAGAGCACTTCTCCTATGAAGACAGTCTGGGAGAGCTGGGGCTGTTCAGGCTGGAGAAGAAAAGGCTCCAGGGAGACCTCACAGCAGCCTTCCAGTGCCTGAAGGGGCTACAGGAAAGCAGGAGAGGAGCTATTTACAAGGGCGTGTAGTGATGGAATGAGGGATAATGGATTTAGACTGAAAGAAGGTAGATTTAGGTTAGACATTAGGAAGGAATTCTTCACTAGGAGGGTGGTGAAACACTGGAACAGACTGCCCAGGGAAGTTGTGGATGTCCCATCCCTGGAAGTGTTCAAGGCCAGGTTGGATGGGGCCCTGAGCAACCTGATCTAATGGAAGGTGTCCCTGCCCATGCAGGGGGGTTGGAATTAGATGATCTTTAATGTCCCTTCCAATTCAAACCATTCTATGAAACACCCTTTTCAGCCAGCAAGGACAGCACAGCTACATATTGATGACTGGGGACTTTCAGGAATGGGCAAAGTGCAGCATTTGCCAAACAGTAACACAGACTCCTACCAGATTACAGAAGATTTCACAGACACATAAAACTCCACTGCTCTCAATGTATTCTTTTGGAGTGCCCTATCGATAGCATCCAAAGCAACGGTTGCTACTGAAATCAGAATAATCACAACATCCCCAAATAGTCACCAAAATCCCTCACCTTCTTAATATCTTCATAGAGATTCTTCAAGTCTTTTCTACCAAGTTGAAAAGGGTCTTGGTATTTTTCATCACTAACTGTCTTACTGCAGCTGCACAAGTGGGATGTGCTTGTATGATGAAACCTGGTGACAGTGTTTTCCAAAAGAGTAACATTGTTAAAAGCAAACCTTCCCTGATTCACCAAACAGAAACATTCCAAGCATTTCCTCCCCAACCCCCTCCTTCTTCTTCCCCTCCCCAAAAATGTAACCAAATGCCTAAAATATAAACATCAAAGGCATCAAAGGCATCAAAATTCCAGAGGAGGGCCATAAAGATGATCAGAGGGCTAGAGCACTTCTCCTATGAAGACAGTCTGGGAGAGCTGGGGCTGTTCAGGCTGGAGAAGAAAAGGCTCCAGGGAGACCTCACAGCAGCCTTCCAGTGCCTGAAGGGGCTACAGGAAAGCAGGAGAGGAGCTATTTACAAGGGCGTGTAGTGATGGAATGAGGGATAATGGATTTAGACTGAAAGAAGGTAGATTTAGGTTAGACATTAGGAAGGAATTCTTCACTAGGAGGGTGGTGAAACACTGGAACAGACTGCCCAGGGAAGTTGTGGATGTCCCATCCCTGGAAGTGTTCAAGGCCAGGTTGGATGGGGCCCTGAGCAACCTGATCTAATGGAAGGTGTCCCTGCCCATGCAGGGGGGTTGGAATTAGATGATCTTTAATGTCCCTTCCAATTCAAACCATTCTATGAAACACCCTTTTCAGCCAGCAAGGACAGCACAGCTACATATTGATGACTGGGGACTTTCAGGAATGGGCAAAGTGCAGCATTTGCCAAACAGTAACACAGACTCCTACCAGATTACAGAAGATTTCACAGACACATAAAACTCCACTGCTCTCAATGTATTCTTTTGGAGTGCCCTATCGATAGCATCGCATACACTTGGAGATGAAGCTTTCAGCCTCCAGTAACACCCTTCTGCTACTTTCTTCCCTCTCCTGTATAGTCCTGGAAAAATATACTCAAATTGGATTTTAAGTGTCTCCCTCTTGCACCCAGCTACATTATAGATTATAAATTAAATCAATACTTCCTGATAGCATGATGATGCTACGAAAGTTCATCAGTAAAGGCTGAAAGCTCCACCTGGATGTATTAAGATGCATTTGGCTCAGGCCTGAATTCTTTTATGTTCCCTGGAATTGAAGTTTATGCCTCCTATTATGTTTCCTTTTTCAAAGTAAACTATACGGGTTTTCTTGGGGCATTCTTGCTTTGCCTGTTGCCCTCTAGGATGGAGGACCTGCCTTCAGCCCCAGCACCACAGCAGCAGTCCACACAGAACTAGCCATCTATGGACTAGAGTGAATAACCTTGTAAGTTTACAGCTCAAAAGTGTAAATACCCAGTTCACCCAGTAACCACGTCCTTACCCATTAAACAACCGTATGAATCTCCAACTTACCGCCAGAATATACTACATGTTTTTGGAAATAACAAAGTTGAACTTCTTTGGGTAAAATAACACATCTGCACAAAGAAAAATCAGGGTTAATTTAGCAGAATTTTCAACTGACAGGAAACACTTGTTTACACAAAGAAGTGTCTGCTCATTAGCACTGCTTTACTTCTCCATTTTAACAACCCAGCAGCAACAGGAGTCTCATTACCTCCTCCCCCATCAAGTGAGACATAACACCCACTATGTACATTAGCTTCTCTCTCATACTGGCTCTCCCTTCAGGTGTGTTGGACTTTCCCCCCCTCACAGGACCAGCTTGGAAGGCATTATCAGTTAACTTCCCACTGCTGCTCAAATGAAACTTTGCACTCCTGGAAGGTGCAATTATTCAAATGTTCTGTCTTGCAGATGAATATGGACTGCACCAGTCAAGGCACAGAGAAAAGGCCAAGAGCTGTTTCTGTGAACTACTACACTAATAGAAGAACATGTCCTTGCTTTCCCCTGAACCAACTTTAATTCAGCTTGCTTCTTACAATTTACACCTGCACATCTTCCCTGCTAAAACCGAACCTCCAAACCCAGCAATCTCTCTCCTGTGACCTCTCCCCCCCGACACGAAGCCCAGGAGCCTGGAGCACAGTCCAAAGTACAGGATCCCAGCCGGCTGAGACGGGAAATGCACTTTTCACTCTGCTCTTGGCAACACTGCCAAGAGCTGCCCAGCCCTGCCCCGGGGTGCACACTGCCTCAGAGGCCCAGCTGGGCCGACCCAGCCCAAAATCACTGCAATCCACACCTTCACCAAACTCCTCTCCAAAAGCCCACGTGCAAAAGTGCTCGGTGAGACCCAGAATGCAGAACAGGAAGAGCTCCTCTGATTTGCTCCTCAGGCCTCAGTGTCTCCTTGCACACAGCTACAAGTCTCTGTCCTTGGACACAGGGAGAGAGACAAGAGCACTGCACTGGCTCCAGGATACCCTTCCATCTTTCCAGTGTATGGGATGACAAAAGGCCAGGCAAGGAGACAAGAGGAAAGGGAGGAACCCTAACTTACCACAGGCTTGCAGCTCACTGCTGTCTGAGATCAGTTTTGGCCGAGACCTTCACTGACTGCCCCCTCAGCGGGGCCACAGACAGACCCTCTGCTTGGCGCTGCTGCTCAGCACTCCCAGGCCGGGCGGCTGGTGGTGCTGGGCACAGCACAGCCAGAACACTTCACTGCTCTTCCCCACCACAGGAACCCAGCCTGCCCTGAAAACCCTTACGCCAGTATTTAACCTTGTCCCGGGCGCGCTCCTGCCCCTGCAGCCCCCCCGGCCCGGGCAGGATCGCCCGCCCCGGCACCGCCTTC